CTATTTCGTCACAAGGCAAGCCTAGTGACTCCCTCCACCACGCGGCTAGTGGAAACCCTGCCGCCTGCCCAGTGGGCCCGTGTTGAGACAGGGTACTGGGTCCAGGAATTGGGACCTGGCGGCTCAGACGCAAACAGTTGGCACATGGCACATGGCTCAGCGTGAGGCACCAACCCTTAGTCGTTCAGAGAGAGGCCTGTTTGAGACCTCTAGCAACGAAGGGTTGGAGTCCAGAGCCTGTTCGAAAGCCAGCGCGAAACTTCCAAAACGTCTGAGCCGTGGCGGCTACTACTACTACTACTACTACTACTACTACTACTACTACTACTACTACTACTACTACTGCGCTGCTGCTGCTACTGCTGTTACTGCTGCTACTGCTACTGCATCTGCTGCCGCTACCGCTACGGCTACTGCTACGGCTACTGCCGTTGCAACCGCCACTGCTACTGCCAATGCTACTGTACTTTTACTGCAATTGCTACCGCTGCGTCTACGGTTGCGATTGCAGAACACTCGCACAAAAGTGCAACAATTTGTGTTTTGCTAGGGTCGCCATCTGTAGCAAAAGCGTTGCAAATTCTGCTCTCCAAAGGCACCCCAATATGCGCACGAATACGACAGAAAACCGGCACAAGAACTCAACTCGGTCTGGATGCCAATGAAGGGACCAATAAAGGGCTTCGATAATTGAACAAAGAACAGTGCATGTATTGTATCGTGCCAAGCATAGCATTATGTCCAGTGCTGACCGACCGTAGCATTGCTGCTGCCAGCGTGCAACAACTGGCAACACACGGCAAAACGACAGCGCCAGCACACTGCTGCAGTGTACTACCTATCGCACATGGTGGAAGACCTGAACAGATGGCAAGGTCGGTTGCAACCTTTCGGAAAAAATGGACGTGAGCTAGCATTATGTAAAACTGAGTTTTAGGATCTGGAGTCAGTCACCTGCCTGCCCCAGCTTTGTCATCGTTGCCTCGATCCCGAAAAGAATCGCAACTGTTCTGCGCCCAGTTCAGGAAAGGGCAAGTTCTAAAATCATGGAAACTGCAAGCGAGTAGCAGGACTAGCCAAGGACCAGTACGGCATAGCGGCGAAGAGGACAGATCCACTGAGATACAAAGCGCTGCCCAGGAAGCTCGGGTCCGAGACTAGTGAGCGCCATAAGCTCCTCAGACTATTTGGCAACGGCCCACATCATGCTGCGTAAAACTACTGCAACCTTCCCCTGTCCGAAAAATTCGTACGAAGCTTTGCAAAGCGCTCTGAAAAATGAAGAGTGGCTTCACCCATCGACAATTTAGTAACTGTGCTTTAGTGTGAGGATTCTGTAGGTTCCAAGGCTCAAGTAAAAGTTCCGCTCTGCGTTGTCATGAAAGCTCCGGAACTCCTCTCTCGAGATGTTCTCCATGCTTTCAGTGTTGATCTCCTCCCAGATGGCGTTAAAGCCACTCATGTCCATTATTCCACAGCTCCTTGGAGGCTTCCCCTGCAATGAGATCTACCGGAAGACTCCAAACTCTCTTGCACTTGCAGGAAAACAGAGCCTACAACAGAATCAGTGCAACAACCACAAAACGTTTGAGACTAGAGCTCCCGACATAGGTTAACACGAACAAACAAACTACTCAGAAGGCTGGTAATTGTGGAAGCAAATCAACACGTCGCTCTGGACCTCAAGGGTATCGTCGTCGAAGCTTTTGTGCGAGAGAGGTGGCAGGGTGCCTTTTTTGGCACGTGCATGTGCACTGAGATGTGAGGATATGGCCCACATCACACCAACATTGTCACGTGGTGAAACCCGCCGAAGCCTACCAATACAGTCTCCCCTGATGCCAATGCGTCTCTCTTGCATGGGACCGGCCGTAGCTCTGACGAGCAGGGAGCATTTTGATTGGAGCAGCGAACGAGACCAGCACCGGATGCACCGCATCTGTCTTTGGAAACTTTAGCAGCGCCTCCTCACAAGTCTTGTGAACAATGAATATCGCGAAAGAAGGGGCTGCCAAGAAGGCAGCCGGCTCATGCTATAGCAGAAGCAGTAGAAAAGAGAATTCCCTCGAATTGCCGGAAGGGGGCTAGGATCAGCAAAAACTCCTGTCTGACTTCGCTTCGAAGTCCCGAAATTCTGGGACTTGTAAAAACTACTGCTGTCTTTGCTTCACATTCCCACGGTGGCACTCGCTATTCAGATTTTTCCTCAACGCTACTCTCAGTTTGGAGACAACGCCCCACAAACTAGGTATGCTATCTGCACAGAAAATGAATGAAAACACGGCCACAAAGGCCAAGTCAGCTGTTAGCTCTGCGAATACTATCCTCATAGATTTGTCCCTGTTTTTGGAAAAGCCCAACAAATTAGCAAAAAACTTCCTGCCTAGACAAGCCACGCTCAATCTATAGCCAGCCCATGCCCATGGGAAGTGGTAATCCAAGCACCCGTCACTAGAAGCCCAAATCCAGGTACGCATGCCTTCCCAACTTCGAAAAGACACTAGAGTTGCTTCCCATTAACTGTTGGCCTTCGAGCATCATCATGTACTGGGCAAGCTCACGTCGGTCCAAGGACCCGTCCCCGTCCACATCGGCCTGACGCAAGCCCGGGGTAAGAATTTCTCAGAATGGCGCAGATCCTGCAGATCCCTCAAGGAGATCCTTGCAGCTCTGCTCTTCTGCGCCTTGTCGAAGATTCGATCGGCCGGGTGCCTGGGACCCACAAGGCGCTGCCAGAAGCTGGCCGGCGCCTCCCATGACACGCAGGATCCCCGAGGTGAACCCTGCATCTTTGAATCCTGTGAGCACTAGGAGATTCGAGTCACTCAGGTGTTCGCACCGTGCATGTCCAACAAACAATCGCAGCAACTGCAGGATTTCGGAAAAAAAACAGCACACAAGAGCACATCACTCGGAAGTGCTTTCACAGTTCGAAGGCAGCAACACACCACTCTGCAACTTGCGATCCGTTGATGTAGCTCCGTCCTTCAACCCTGACCTGCTGCCCATCCCAAGTATCTGCACCTCAGGCTCCGAGTCCAGCACCTGAGACTCATGACATGGACTTCTTAGAGCAAATCCCCCGCGCTTCTTGGTGTCTTGGTGGAGCCGACAAGGAACCGCTTGGATGCGCGGGAGCTGCCACCAAGCCAAGACCTGAGGACAATAAGCAGAAGCGCGACAAAAGATGAGTCGATGTTTCTACGTGCACGAACATGAGCAACTGCTTGGATGCGTGAAGCATAGATTCACGAGAATCCGCGGGGCGCTCCCTTCAGACACTACCGGACTACTAGTTTCTGAGGAGCCACTGCTACGCTGCCCACGCCGACGCCCAAGGAACCGAAGCCGACGGAGATACGTTGTGCCAGGCCCGGCAGCGGACTTGGCATGCAACGGGATATCGGCGGAGAAGAATACTGTAGCAGTTTGGCACAAGACGGTTCAAGATTTCATCAGCTCCACATGATCGAAGCAAGTGCACGGCCTTCTGAAGAATGCTAACAGGTTCTCGCTTACACCCCATCTGTGCAAGTGGCCTCGTATGACAACCTGTACATAACGAGATGCCGACCGGGCAAAATGGAAGCTAGCCACTTCCACGAGCCTTGGTGCGGGGCCAATTCGTGCACCACTCGTGGCGTGGGCCTGCAACTCGGGGAATGTACTGTGCTTCTTAATAGTAGTGGTAGTAGTAGTAATAGTAGCAGCAGTAGTAGTGGAAGTAGTAGTAGTAGTAGTAGTAGTAGTAGTAGTAGTAGTAGTAGTAGTAGTAGTAGTAGTGGTAGTAGTAGTAGTAGTAGTAGTAGTAGTAGTAGTAGTAGTAATAGTAATAGTAGCAGTAGCAGTAGCAGTAGCAGTAGCAGGAGTAGCAGTAGTCGTAGCAGTAGCTATAGCGGTAGCCGTAGCGGCAGCAGCAGCAGTAGTAGCAGTAGCAGTAGCAGTAGCAGTAGCAGTAGCAGTAGCAGCAGCAGCAGCAGTAGCAGTAGCGGTAACTTAAGCAGTAGCAGTAGCAGTAGCAGTAGTAGTAGTCGTAGCAGCAGCAGCAGGAGGAGGAGGAGGAGTAGTAGTAGTAATAGTAGTAGTAGTAGTAGTAGTAGTAGTAGTAGTAGTAGTAGGAGTAGGAGTAGAAGAAGTAGTAGTAGTAGTAGTAGTACTAGTACTAGTACTAGTACTAGTACTAGTACTAGTACTAGTACTACTACTAGTACTACTACTAGTACTACTACTAGTACTAGCACTAGTACTAGTACTAGTAATAGTACTAATACTAGTTTTAGTACTAGTAGTCGTCGTGGTGGTGGTACTATCAGTAGTAGCGGCAGCCGTGGCAGTAGCGTTGGATCAGCAGCGGAAATAGTAGTAGCAGCAATAATATGCATAGCACATGCAGTGGTAGACGGCCAGATGGCCTCACTCTCGGCTGCAAGCCTTCGTCGCGCCTGCAAACCAACTCGTGCTACGGCACAGACGTGCTCCAACAGGCCATTGGATGCGATGCCAAGCGCGTGGTAGGCCCAGGGCAATTAAATCTCTCCTGTACGTCCCCCAGGAATTGCACCCTTCGTGTTCGAAATGCCGCATCCCTTCAAGGCCGCACATGTGATGCTCTGCGAAGCGACTTAGGTCTTGGGTAGATTACCAGAGCCAGAAAAGCACGCGGAGCAGCGGCACCTCAATGCATGGCCTCAAGGGCTGGAAATGCCACCCACATCGCCGCAGCTGGCAGCCCCGTGTGGCCATGGCCCGCTCGTGTTATCAAAGCATTGTTTGTCTTTAGCCCCCTGGCATGGCTCGTTCTTGGACTTAGCAGATCCCCTCCAAACGGCGAGTTGACTGCGACGACACCTCGCGGAAAAGGGCCGCTTTGAGGATGATTACGACGACGTTGTGACTTTGTTCGTTCCCGACAATCATGAAGTCCAGCGATGCTGGCGATCCTTCGGAACCGTAAAGTTTGATCAGTTTGTTCCTGCATACTCCTGGCTCGGCCCTGCTCTCTACCTGCAAACATGTCCAATTCTGCGCACATCGTCAACCTTTCTCCTTGCGCAGACCGCCATCCTTCTCCTTGCGCTTTTTCTTCTCTCCGCCTGAGCCAAGGAGCCCCAAGCCAATCCCACAAAACACCAGGACCAGAACCGCATGTCCGAACCTGCTCTTTTGGCATCCTTTCCCAGAGAAGGATCAAAACCTTCAGCTGAACATCAACACTCCAATACTGCGGAGTGCAATGCAGACATCAAATGCTTGGCCACGCACGGTCACGCACGTCCTCATGCGTATCGTGTAGCATAGTAGCACAGCACGATGGATGCTTAAACGATAGCTGGATTGAGCATGGTGAAGTGCTAAGTCTTGATGTCGTGCTGGAGCACGCTGATCTGCCCAATTCCGCTCCGGCCTTGGAAGACTTGCCGCGGCCTTAAAGATGGCGATTTGAAGATCTAAGGTGCTGGAGGAAAGTAGAGACAACATGCACAGGACTCAGAAACTTGAAATCACATTGACATGGAACCGGCCAGCAGGGTGCCCGGCTGGCTTTTCCTGGAATGGCTGAGCAAGGAGACGGAGACCTTGACTGTAGTTGCCCTTTCTCAGCATCTTTACCTACCTGTGATGAACCATACACACGCTTAGAGCGAATGCAAGAGCACAAACACACGGAGATGGAGAGAGAGTGTGCAGCATCTCGCGAGGCTTTGGTCTCAGCTGCACGCGGCTCTGTCGCTCGCGGCATATACGGATCCCACTGCATTCCTGGCGTAGCATCGACTAGGCTTGGTCGTCAAACGAGAAGCTTTGACGCTGAAGAAGCGACTTGGCTTTGGCCTTGGCCGGGTGCTGTCAGCAGCAGCTTTTTTGCCTCGCACTGGAAGACTCTCCCTTTTTCACTCCTTGGCGTCCCTGGCCTTGGTGGCTTTGCCCGTCTCTCCCTTGCGCTTCTTGCGAACCTACAAGATGATTCAGGGTGGCAAGGACTTTCCCGATTCTTGCGAAGTCAGCCACCTGCGCCTCTGCACTGCATGGCGATTCTGCCCTTGTGGCAGGAAGCTCTGCCATCTGACAGTTTGCACTCACACACTCGCCTTGGCTTCTTCTTGCTTGCCTGTGATCACAAGCCATGACTTGTCGCTCAGACGGTCTTTCACAGATCAAGACTGATGCAGGCCTTCTTCCCCACCTGCCAGGGGAAAACTCCAGGCCTAAGCCCACCAAAACTGCATCATAATAAAGAATTACAATCCAGCGAAGTCTCGAAACTCGAAACCTGCTGCTGCTATTACTCACCAGACACTCTAGGATCCGCACGTCGAAATCGGGGAGATGCTGCGCAAGTCCGGATCCACATCGTCAGGCTCCTGACGGAGTTCGGAGTGACCAGAGGAGGGGGGCGTTTCAATCTGCTCGTGCAGGTCTCCGAAACACCCACAGCCACAGCAGCCGCTGCTGACACTTTCGCCACATTCGCCTGAAGCGCCAGTCTTCTGAGAGTTCAAAAGCTGTCTTTGGACAGTATGCTTTTGAGGCCTGTGTCAAGCGTGGAGCGGGGCCTTCTTCATCACTGGAAACCTCCACCTGATCAACACTGTTCCACAATGCTCCACACTCTATCCATCTGTGCACCGCTACCATGTTACAACGGCCATCCACCCTAAACAGGGTCCGACACGCGTCTGTTGGAAGAGTTCGAGGGGCCTTGTCAGAGCGTCGACGTTCTGGTCGGGGTGATGTCAACCTCATTCTTGCATCATCTTGTATCCTGCAGCACCCGAAGAGTTCTGAGCCGCGCACGGTCGCTGTCCTGGACCAGGCCCAGATTTGGCCTGCCAGGTCGCGCCACTGAATGCAGGAGCCCAGTACCACAAAGTTTGTTGCAGAGCTGATGCCAAGGAAGCTCTTCATTCGCAGCTATGCACATGACAACACGTCATCGCAGGACACCTTCGGTGGTGGAATGTCCTGACCACCATCCGAGGCCTCAATCGGCAGCCCTCAACACGCATTGCATGGATCTCACACCTGTCAACATCCTTCAGTGCTTAGTGCTGCGACATCACTTTCATCACGGGGTAGCGGCGGTGGCCACGCCTCCCATGGCATGCACTCCGAGACTCGTCCAGCGAAACCATGCTGCGGCCTCGCCGGAGATGGTCGCCAGCCTGAATCCAAGCCGTTGCACCAAGTATTTTCCATAAAAAAATCTGCAGCCAATCCACATCTATCTGCTATTCCTTCCTCCAGGTCCCGAACCCTTCAGGACGAGACTTCGGTCGAGCCGCCGGGCGTTCGTCTTCCTAGCCAGGCAAATTCTATCCCAGCAAGAGTCACAAGCATGTTTTGCCACCACTCCGGAACAATGCGAACTTGTGCGCCTTGGGTTTCTTCTTTTTCTTGGGCTTGAGGGCCTGCTGGAGCCAGGAGCCGGATGCCAGACGGTTGGGCATGCTATGCATCGCTTCGCAGCCATCATCCATGCCTTTGCGATCTCTGAATCTGCTGGCGGTGGTGTGAAATGAGCAGGGGTAACCTCGGAAATTGATGTGCCAACTCGCTTGCAAATGAAGCTCCCGTCGATCCTGATAACCCAGAAACGGTGCTGCACCTAACTCGCTAGGAGATAGCGGAAAGTTCGAACGGTGTGGTCATTTGTAGCTCGAACTGCAATCTGCTTACTCATGTCAGCGGCACTCAACTAGCCATCCATGCCCATCCGCAGGGACTATGTGACTATGCCGCGTCATGCTACATCTTGCATGTGGGCTGAGCCACAGCTCGTATACTCGGTGCAGTCTGGATTAATGCACAATGCTGCATGACCGCAAACGACAAGGGAACTGGAAGAGATTGGAGAAGAACACATGCTGCAAGTCAGTCTCAACTTGCGTGCGGACTGGCAACCTGAGGGAGTTGTCTTGGCGGTGTGAGCACGGGAGGAGGTTCCTGCACCTGGGCAAAAACCGAAACGAAGGCACCGTCCTAAATCCCCATCCCAAGAACAAGCCGCGCACGGGGGGTGGCACTGGGACCTTGCACAGATTTCAAAAGCAGGCGCAGCCCTGCCAAGCCTGGCTTGATTCATTGCTTCGAGAAGAATGTTGCTGCACCCTGCAGTTTTGCTACGGCTCCGCGAAGTTACAGGCTCTGCACTTTGGCTAACAGAATAGTGAGACCGCTTGCATGTGCATTATCACCGAGGGCTCAAGGTTATAGTGTGCCCAAGGTGAGTTGCTCACCGAGAAGTGCACTTCGTGCCCTCTACTTTGGAGTTTGCACGAGAACAAGGAGGAATGAAATCGAAGGTGGAATCGTTCTTGGCAAGGCTGGCCACACAGATGAGATTTTGCAAGTGTGAGGTCAACACTGCGTGCTAGATCGTGCTAGGATCAATACACGGATGTTCTCAGCCCTGCCACTCTCACTCGAGCACTTCACCGCAGACAGCAACACTGGAGTCACCTCATGTGAGGCGTGCCCAACATGGAAACCTGGTACCAATGGCCATGGTCGCCATGGTGCTTATGCTCACGCCATTGCCAGGCATGTCCAGCCTCGGGTGCACCAGGGGGATGTCCGATGTTGGAGATGTGGTGATTGTCGGGGACTGCCACCCATCTCATCTCACCGTGGTGGAGGACGTGCACCCAGTGATACCCGTAAGGAACCATGCTCACTGGCGGTGCGGCATGGCCCACCGTCAAGTCAGACGACGTGACCACCCCATGCTGCATATCGTATCCAGCGGACACTAGAGGCGAGCTGGCACTCGAGCAGCCACGATGGTACTTGAGGCAACAGTACTGCTTCTTCTCGGCACACCATTCGTGCACCCAGTCCGAGTAGTCTTTATCACAGTCCCAGTGGGAACAGCCTTTCTGCATGTGCTCGCAGCACCAATATTTTTTGTTGCTGGACCAGACGTTCTTCCAATCGTCATAGCCAGCATCGCAATCGTAGGATGAAATCTCACAGCCTCGATGGAAATGATGGCAGCACCACTTCTTCTTCTCATCCGACCAACCATGGTGCCAGTTGGAGTAACCGGCATCACAGTCGTAGGGCATATGGGAGCAGCCTCGGTTAGCATGTTGGCAGCACCATTTCTTCTTACCGTCCGACCACCCCGCCCGCCAATTGGTGAAGCCAGCATCGCAGTCGTAGGGGACTGATGCTGGAGGACAGCCATGATGGTAGTGGTGGCAGCACCACTCCTTCTTGGCAGGGGTCCATACGGACATCCAATGTGAGTAGCCAGCATTGCAATCATATGTGGGTCCCCCACAGCCACGGTGGCTGTGCGCACAGCACCAAGATTTTTTGCTGGCAGACCAACCCAGCTGCCAGTTGCTGTACCCCGCCGAGCAATCATATGGCAACGACACGATGCAGCCGCGATGAGTGTGATGGCAGCACCACGCCTTCTTGGATGCTGACCAACCAGACTGCCAGTTGGAATACCCGGCATCACAATCGTAAGGTGCGTCTGAGCACCCTCTGTGAAACCGGTGACAGCACCAGAGTTTTTTGTGGGCCGACCATCCAAGCCTCCAGTTGCTGTACCCTGCATGGCAGTCATATTGTCCATGTACAACAGTGGGAGGATGAGTGACTGGCGCACATCCAAGCTTGTAGTGTGCACAGCACCAACCTTTCTTTCCCACAGACCAACCAGCCACCCAGTTCTCAAGTCCGGCATGGCAGTCATACGGTAAGCTGGGGTGGTAATCGGGACAGCTGACCTCATAGTTCTGGCAACACCAAAGTCTCTTTCCCACCGTCCACACTTCCACATCGCCAGTGTGGCAGTTGTACGGAGTGGTTATGTGAGGAGGACAACCGCGACCAAGCTTGTGGCAGCACCATGCCTTCTTCTGACTGGACCAAGCAACCCTCCAGTTGTTGAAGGCTGCATCACAGTCGAAAGCCGGACTTGTCGTTGCGGGTGTGGTGGTAGGGCAGCCACGACCATAGTGAACGCAGCACCATTCTTGCTGAGGAACTGTCCAAAGGGTCTGCCAATTGAAGTAGTCTTTGGTGCAGTCCCACACGTCATCTTGGTGAGGCTCGGGGGCATCATGGTATTGTCGATGGAAGAAGTGCCCGAGCACGAGACACAGAGCAAGACCAAGGAGTAGACAGCATAAGAGGCCCACAGCACACCCACGTGCTTTCCACCTGGAATAGGTAACGTCAAGCCTCCTCTCGAAGCTACCAGCATTCTCACCAACGTAGGCCTCGGCTCTGTGGCAGACTCCCATCTCGCAAACACATGAAGCCAACTGATTACATGATCCCCTACTACTTGAGCAAAGGCACGAAGTTCTCAACCTTTTCATAAGAACCTCTACCATCGCCAACCCACTTCCACGTAGCTACTGTCTTCTTTCCCACCGGCTCGAAGCAAATACTGCCTGTCCAGCATCACAGGCACGACACATGCAGGCAATTTCTGCACAGCAAAAACTGTTTTCACGAACTTCACACTGCCTGCCTACGTTCTCGCATCCGTCGTCATCGTGCACAACATGTCCAGCATGTCCGTGTGCAGCATGTCCGTGATGTACCATGTGACTGTCGTGGTGAACGACAGATCCACCATGTCCGTAATGAACACGGCCGTTGGAGTGGCCGTGCCCGCCGCCAGCATGCTCTGCGCTGACGGCGACGCCCATGCTGCCTCCGACAAATCGGTTGAAAGTTCTGCACAACAGCATCAAAGAGAACACATCCGTCGATTTGGCCTCGCGCCGCGAAATTCTGGCCGGCTGCCCACTCCGATGCTGCTTGAGCAGCTTCGGGCAACCGTTGGAGCACGTGCACTCCGGCACTAACAGGCAGTGGCAAGCGAGTTGAACATGCTACAAGCTGCTACATGCACAAGCTACGCCCGTTCCGACAGGTGAAGACCAAGGCAAAAGCATCGACCATCACGGAAGTCACATACAACGTCAGAATGCGCTGGTCCACCGTCATCCTTGAGAGAAAACACATGCACATACATGCACCCCCTTTCACCGTACTGCACGTTACAGCTCTGGATGCTGTGGCAAATGCTGGCATAGGGGGAAGTAGGCTCGGGGCTGTTTGTCTTGATGGCGACTCTTGGCAGGAACGAGAACACTCCAGCCTGGCAATATGATGGCACATGAAACTGCATGAAATCCTCCAAGGACCCACATCGACATCGTGATGCAATTTCACCCAGCATGTCGGGAACACCATCCTGCACAGCCTGACGAAGGATGCGATGGCTTGCAAAACACACTTCAAAGCCAAGAGCCATTTCGTCTGCCTGCACAATTCCAGGAACGATACGATCGAAAGCACCCAGGGGTGGGACCGCAGCCTGGAAGCATCATGAAGCATCCATGGTGTCAACTGAAAAAACCTGTGCTAAAGTGCCCATCTCCAATGATGATTGATTGGCTGCAAAGCAAGACCATGCAGAGGATGGGTTGGAGCCGGGTTTCAGCCCATCTGAAGTTCAGAATTTGCCATCGGCGGACCAGCGGTGATTTGTGGATGGAGAGACCATTCCGGGAGTTGAGGTCACCTCAGGCACACAGGAGCTGGTAGAGGCTTCCAATCTCCTCCCACATTGAAGTCTCTGAGTCACTAGCGAATCGACAGCAGGCCGGTCATCCTTGGTCCGAACCGCGAGACTGACTGGCAACAGGGAACGAGAAAAGCCGTCTGCTTGGGCGCATGACTTGAGATCTGCACCAAGAATGACCTGGAGTTGTCCGAGTCCGAGTCCATCGTGCTATTCTGGACTGAGACATACTCCCATGGAAGTATAACATAGAATACATTGTATACTAGCGCATGTCGTAGTAGATTCGGCCAGGTCAGAGGGTGCGGGAGTAACGAGAACCGCTTCGAGGAAACCGATCAAGCGCAGTGTAACCGAAACTCGAGGAAGCAGCAACAGAAACCGGAGCAGAAGCATAACAGGAATCACCGCAGGAAACCAACCACGGGAAACCAAGCGCGAACGCGGTGCATCTGAGAAAAAGCGCTCGGTTGAGGGATTTCGGGATTGCTTGCAGTTTAGGTTTGCGTTTTTTTTTGACAGACAACTTGGCAAAGCCAGCGTAGCAACAAAACTCAAAAAGCAGCACAACCCCTCGCTGCCCTCGCCCATGCCGCGTCTCGGGAGTGCATCTTCAGATGCAGGCCACATCTACACAGCCAACCAGCATGGGAACTAACGAAGTGGAAATCATGCGTACGGTGCACTCCAAAAGGAAGGAGATCGAGCATGGACGATGGGCATGGTTGTCGAGCCAGCTCGCTGAGCCTAGTCTTGAGAGAGCTCGCGCGGAGTCGTAACCCGCATCTAACACACCAGGCAGCGCTGTCATGACAACCCAAGGCCAAAGCATGATGTGGGTGTGTTACCCGCAAGTGCTGCATAAACTCGCGTTTGGTGGCAGGTTTCGGCCCGAAAAAAAACGCGCGGTGTAGCTACTAGAGTGACGTTTTTGGTTGCGGCCACGTGGGCTGACCCGCAGGATTGAAGGTCTAGCTTTTGAGAAGATTGAGGCTTCCGGCTTCAGGGCTTCAGCGTGTGGGTTTTCTTTTGAATTCCGGAGTCTTGGTGTGGGTTGAAGATGTTGGGGCTGGGGCATGCTGGAATCGTAGGTCTGAAACTTAGCTCAGGGACCGGAAAGCGGTCCCAGCCAAGAAAAGACTCAGGATCTGAAAGGCAGGCCCAGAGGTCACAGTTCCCGGTACCAGAAGCTGTTCCAGGTTGTTACGGAAACCAGGTGGTTCGTATTACGATCTCCAACATTGTTTCAGTTTCCAGTCGCTGTTACGGTCGGCTTGTTCCTGTTGCGGAAAATATCCCCTATCAGATCATGGGCTGCATTAGACTGCGCCTTGCTGCCATGCAGTTACTACAGGAGCTGTGTTGCTGTGTGCTACTGTACGCTGCCATTTGCGACTTACTGACGTAACCGAAGATCGTCTCGCATGAACTAGCTACATTCATCTTCAAAGTGCAATTGGCAAAAGACTTACGTGCTGTAATCCTCCCTACGTCAGTGAGCAAGCTCCGAAAACCCCTGCGAAGCTGGCTCACCCTTGCGGTGCAGAAGACTGAACTGTTAGACACTACTGCTTGCAATATGTGTCATTGTTTACTCCTGTGCTGAATATCCAATGCTGCATACTATAAGAGACATGGCACACAATGTCAGGATGACAGATGGTGACGTATTGTAAACCAGCCTTGACAAAAACTGGCACACCCTTCCGTACTGTAGCACCCCGCGCACACTGAATGCATTCATGCATAGACGGACGGACGGATGGAAGGATGAAAGGATGGATGGCTGTATGCATCGATGGATGGATGCATCGATGGATCGATGCATCGATGGATGGATGCAGGGATGGATGGATGGATGAATCGATGGATGGATGGATGGATGGATGGATGGATGGAGGGATGGAGGGATGGAGGGATGGAGGGATGGAGGGATGGAGGGATGGAGGGATGGATGGATGGAGGGATGGATGGATGGAGGGATGGAGGGATGGAGGGATGGAGGGATGGAGGGATGGAGGGATGGAGGGATGGAGGGATGGAGGGATGGAGGGATGGAGGGATGGAGGGAAGGACGGACGCACGGACGGATGGATGGAGGGATGGAGGGATGGAGGGATGGAGGGATGGAGGGATGGAGGGATGGAGAGATGGAGAGATGGATGCACGGATGGATGGATGGATGGATGGATGGATGGATGCAGGGATGGATGGATGGATGGATGGATGGATGCATGCATGCATGCATGCATGCATGCATGCATGTATGTGTGCATGTATGCATGCATGCATGCATGCACGGATGGATGTATGTATGTATGTGTATGTAAGCTGTGTGTATGCATGTGCGCAAGCACGCATGTGTCTGTATGATCAGAAAAAGGTGACAAGCATGACGATGCCTTTTATGTGATGCAAAGAAAATGATGTGGGTGTGTGCTCTATGTGCTCTGTGTGTCGATTGTGTCCTGCATCGTACAACACATCGCTTCGCGTGCCGCATGATATGTGTAGTAGGCTGAACAGTCAACTGCACCAAAAACTTGATGTTTCATTACAGTGGATGCTGTTCGAAACTATACTTCGTTCTCACAATGTGTCATGGATACACATTGAGCAGTAACATACCATCATCCTTGGTGAACATGTATACACATTCACATGTCCCGCCTCTTCGGGCTGTTTTGCCCGCATGAAGATCTCAGCCTGTTATCCATCATTTTGAGGAGAAGCAGCCAGGCCAAGCCCCTTCGTGCTAGGACCCGGCGTGGTGTTTCGAAACACCCTCATAGTCCAAGATCACCTGAAGATGTGTGAACGGTGCAGCTTGCACGCTAGAGTCCATCAGAGAAAGGACGGCCGGATGCAGAGAGCAACTCATGAAGAGACCCCCAGCGATGCATGACTCGAGAAACCTGGCTTCGCTTGCGCAAGAGAACCTATGTTTGGATCGGACGTCCTGTTGTGGATTTCTGATGTCCCTCAACCATAACTTCGCTCAAGCTCTAGAAGGCTCAAACTCTACAGACTCAACCCCAAAGCAGAAGCCTGACAGTCCAAACCGCAGCGGTAGCCTCGTTGTCGTTGCCGCGGCCAATGCGCACAACATCCCCAGACCTACACACGCGAGAGCATGCCGTTCTCGGCCTCCCCTCAGATCTCTTGGATCCCAGCTTAAGTATAAACTTTTTGCCAGTCGAGACATCCTTGCAGCCAGACTCAAGTGGCTGTCTGCTGAAGACTTCGCTTTGAACCTAGCGACCAAAACTGCTTGTCCTGTCCCTTGCGGCACGCAACTATTTGGCATCGCTCTTCCTGCCTGTCGGGCATGTTGCATGAGCTTGCAATGTTTCTACGATGTAGAAGAAAGCAACGGATCCTTCCCATTGCCACCATCTCTTCCGAAGCTCTCCGAGCCAACCTGCACGAGTAATCACAGATATCAGGGCCATGGAACATTCCCCCACCCTATCTCCTGATTCTAGGGGGGGGACGGGGTCCCCTAGGATATCCTATTTCCTATCTGGGTTTTGAGACGGGGGGGAGCGGGTTGGAAATAGGAAAAAACTATGATGCGAGCTAGGTTTTGTTTCCGTCATCAACTTTGCTGTTTGCGTATGCTCATGATTTTGCCCAAGGGTGTAGATATTGATGGGTTAACGGCACGGTTCCGATTGTCAGCAGTAGCAGTAGTGTCCCTATCCATCGGCCGACAGAAAAAAACGGATTCGATTGGTAGTTTCAAGCGGATTGGGTCCGATTGATATTTTCAAGCGGATCCACTAGTTTTCTGTGAAAACCAAGCGAAACAAAAACCTAGCGGGGAACCAATAGCAGCATATAGCAAAAACCAAGCGGAGCATTCAGGAGCACGGGTGTTTGACCGGGCTTGAAGCCTGCGATTTCTGGTTTCACAGGTTTTCACAGATCTTCACAGGTTTTCACAGATCTTCACAGGTTTTCACAGATCTTCACAGAATTTCACAGATCTTCACAGAATTTCACAGATCTTCACAGACTAATCTGTGAAGATCTGTGAAATTCTGTGAAAACCTGTGAAATTCTGTGAAAACCTGTGAAGACCTGTGTGCTTCAGAATTCCGGGTTGGGCTCGATGTTTTTGGTGTGCTGGGCACGGGAAACCAAGCGAAATCGTTGATGAAAAACCTTGCGGAATCGATGATAAAAACCTAGCGGAGAACCTAGCGGAGAAAATAGCATCCCAACCGATTCCTAGCGGGTCCGATAGAAAATGCCAAGCGCACATGGTATTTTCAAGCGCAGCAGAATCGATTGGTATTTTCAAGCGAAATCCAGTGTTTTTTCAAGCGTGCGATGGTTAGGGGTAGTAGTAGTAGTAGTAGTAGTAGTAGTAGTAGTAGTAGTAGTAGTAGTAGTAGTAGTAGTAGTGTAGTCCTAGTAGCAGCAGCAGTACCAGGAATAGGAAGAGTGGGAGGGGGGGTCGTCGAGCAAGCCCTGCCCTGGCCGAGGGGTCCATGACGGGCCCCCCTCGCGTTTTTCCTATTTCCGCTCCCGGGACCAGGTACCGGGAGCAGGGACCGGGAAGAAGCAAGAGCCGAGGAACAGGAAGAGTTGGGGGGGGGGTCGTGAAGCAAACCCTGTCATGGGCGAGGGATCCATGACGACCCCCCCCTTTGTTTTTCCTATTTCTTGGTGTCGTGGCAGTGCTGGGGGGATTAGAAGAAGAAAGTAGTAGTAGTAGTAGCAGTAATAATAGTAGTAGTAGTAGTAGTAGCAGTAGTAGTAGTAGCAGTAGTAGTAGTAGTAGTAGTAGTTGTTGTTGTAGTCCTAGTAGCAGCAGCAGTACCAGGAATAGGAGGGGTTGGGGGAGGGTCGTCGAGCAAGCCCTGCCCTGGCCGAGGGGTCCATGACGGGCCCCCCCCCGCGTTTTTCCTATTTCCGCTCCCGGGACGGTGCCGGGAGCAGGGACCGGGAAGAAGCAAGAGCCGAGGAACAGGAAGAGTTGGGGGGGGGTGAAGCAAACCCTGTCATGGGCGAGGGATCCATGACGGCCCCCCCCAGGTTTTTCCTATTTCCTGGTGTCGTGGTAGTAGTAGTAGTGTAGTAGTAGTAGTAGTAGTAGTAGTAGTAGTAGTAGTAGTAGTAGTAGCCGCCACGGCTCAGACGTTTTGGAAGTTTCGCGCTGGCTTTCGAACAGGCTCTGGATTCCAACCTTGCGTTGCTAGAGGTCTCAAACAGGCCTCTCTCCGAACGACTAAGGGTTGGTTCTTCACGCTGAGCCATGTGCCATGTGCCAACAGTTTGCGTCCAATTCCTGGACCCAGTACCCTGTCTCAACACGGGCCCACTGGGCAGGCGGTAGGGTTTCCACTAGCCGCGTGGTGGAGGGAGTCAGTCAATTCGGCTTGGTACGAAATCAACATGGCACTGCTCCACAGTGTCAACAAAAATTCTCAGATCAGGAAGAATTCTTTCAAGCATGTTTGCCGACAGGTGGCTGCAAGCCAGCAGCCTGTTTCTTACCGAGGTCAGGTTCTGACCCCAGCTCTTCTCAGGCGCATGGGCAACTGCCCACCGCAGCCGGGCTCCAAGCAGTCTTTTGCACCACGATCTCGGGCAGGACAGGCCACCAGGCCTCTCCGAGTACTGTCCTGGAATGCAGGCCATCTTGGCCAGCAACAATGGTCGGAAGTCAAATCATGGCTCTCCACTGAGGCACACCACACCTGTGATGTGTTCGTCCTGCAGGAGACCCACTGGCAGGCTACGGCCGAATTTAGTGTTGCAGGCTGGTACTGCATCTCGTCTGCTTCTGCTGCAGATCCGAAGGCCTCTAGACGAAAGCAACGCGGGGGCAAGGCCCATAAACAGTCACCTGCAGAGGCAATGCCTAATGACGATAAGATGACCCCACCCCGCAAGGAGCCCTCAACAACTCGCGCGGACGGGGTTATGGTTTTCCTGTCCCCACACATACTGCCCAAAAGTGTGCGCTGGCAGGAACATGTCATAGGCAGAGCCCTGGAGGTCAGGTTTGACTGGCACGGGGCCCGCATCAACCTGGTTGCTGTGTATCAACACGTCTGGGCACCGGCCAAGCAGGTACAGACCAATCGTCAGGACAGAGCACATGTCCTGAAGGCTCTTAGCAGATGCGTGCAACGCGTGCCGCACAGGGACACGCTTATCCTGGCAGGAGATTTCAATAGTTCCTTGCAAAAGCAGCCTAGGCTGGTTGGTCCAGAGATCATTAGCCCACAGGAACCGAGATCTGATGAGCCAGAGCTTACCAACTTTCTGCTTAATCATCGCTTGGTTGCCCTCAACACGTGGAGGCCTCAGCCGCCACATACGTTTCAGCAAGGGGATACGCGCACTCAAATTGCTTTGTGCTTACGAGGGAGGTCTCTGCTGGAGGAGCTGCCAAAAACTCTACGCCGCTGGCAGCTTTCCCGCTTGGAAGCTGGAAGAAAGGCGGGCACTTACCCATCAGTGCAGCTGTCAAACCAGTTCGGCACTGGAACCTGCCAGCCCCTCAGATACAGCAGCATCATTATGACACCGCTGCTCTGCAAGCGGCTGTCAGGGACAACACGCTGCCAGCTCAGCACATGCTCGAGTGGGTTACAGCACGACTCACTCCGGACATGCAGCCGGCGTCATGGGATCGCCTCCTTGGCGAAGCCGCATCCAGGTTTTTCCCTAAGACCCCAGTGGCAATGCCAGATAGTCCGGAGACGAGCCTTGCCAGACGCATGTGGCGCTCGGCGCGTGGGAGCAATGCTCACCCCAGTGCGGAGCCATCGCCGGAGGATGAAGCCCGGCAGAGGCTGTGTGATCAGCATAAACAGGCGGTTAAGCAGGCTCGCAAGGACCAGACCAAACGGTTTCTTGCTGAGGTTGATCAGGCTCTGAGCCAGGGCGATCAGCACCTGGCATATCAGACTCTTAAGCACCTCCGGCCGTGGAAACCGGCTTTGAAAGCTCAGCTTAAGGACGCGCACGGCTTCCTGCTCAGTCCTGCAAACGAACTGGATGAACTGGGGAAGTATGCAACTAAGGTCTTTGCGGCGCACCCACAGCTCCCGTCTGATTCGGGACTCCTGCCCCTATTGCCACAGACCAAGTTAGCAAAACATATTGCCTCGATCAAGCCTAGCAAGGCAGTTCCGAAAGGAGCGGCACCGGCCGCAGCCTGGAAGCTCTGTGCTCAGCCGATCTCTGCGGCGCTTTCACAATACTGTTCAAGCCTGACGCAGGACCAGTCACTGGACGACGATCTGACTCGCGCAGATCTCTGCTTAATCCCAAAACCGGGCAAGCCGGCTGACAAGCCTTCACAACTCAGGCCGCTGGGCATTCTTCGCCCGGATGCTAAAGGACTGGCGGGCACGGCCAAGGAGCTCCTGGAGCCTTTCACGCTGCCATACATGAAGCCTCTACCCCAGTTTGCATACCTCCCTGGGAGAGGTCTTTCGGATGCACAGAGCAGAGTGGTTCAGCATTTAAGGGAAGCAAGGCAGCTCTGTCGCAATGCGAATCTCACCCGAGCGGATCAGCAGCGGGGACAATGTCCTGTAGGTCTCGTCGGCGGCATCACTTTCGCACTAGACCTGTCACAGGCATTCGACACTGTGTCCCGAAGTGAGATCTTGTCCCTGCTAGATGAGCTGGGCGCGGATCCCCCGCTTAAGAAACTCATACACGGCCTTCATCATCGATCTAAATACAGACTTCATTCTCAGGGGGCCTACAAGGACGTGGAAACTACCACTGGCATCAAACAAGGCTGCAAGTTGGCCCCCACGCTGTTTTCCGTGCTCACAGGCCGCCTCCTTCATAGACTGATAGACGCATTTGGCTGGGACAATGTCCGCAGATACTTTACAGGTTACGCGGACGACTTCACCATGCATCGCACCATCCGCAGCCAAGCAGACGTGGACGCTGCTCACAAGATGATCCTACAGCTTCTGTCGGAGGTGACGAAACTGGGATTACGCGTCAACCCGGCCAAATGTGCCATGCTAGTCAAGCTTAACGGCAGAGAGGCGGAAGCCGTGCTTCAGAAGCACACCTGCTGGCTGCCCGACTCGACGGGCACACTACAGCGGCATTGGCGACTGGGCAAGCACAGATCCTTCCCTGCATACAAACTTGAGGCGCAAATCAAGTACCTGGGCATCCAAATTTCCTATGGGAACTTTGAAATGCAGACGCTGCGATTCCGCATAGCGGAGGCTGCCAAAAAGCTCCAGCAGGTCAAGCGATTCGTCTACAATCGCCGCACCGCGGGGCCAATGGCCAGGCTAAAGGTCTGGTTCACCACCGTTTGGGCCACCTTGGTCACGGGACTCCCCGAAGTCGGCCTCACGGAGGAGACGGCCAGGCATCTTAGAGGCTGGTATGCACACAAGATACGCTCGGTCCTCAATCAGCCTGCACACGTCGGCCACACACCTACAGCTGACCTGTACCGACTATATTCAATCCAAGACCCGGTAGCCAAAATCCAAACAAGGATGGCTTCTAGACTCAAGCGGTTGTGCAAGAGAACAGCCCCCTCCGAAGCCACCACTACAGCCCTGCCTGCACACACTCCCAGTGAACCCTCAGCGACGCGGGGCCCATGGGCCAGGCTGAGTCCACCAGCGACGGGCCTAGCAACACACCAGCAGCCGTCTGAACCACATACATACGGTGACGTCACGCAACTGAGCCACGTCGTACAGGACCTACAGGACATGCTGAGAGAGGTGGAAAACCTCCCGGCGGGCACCGAGGCCTCACAGCAGCGGCTACACGCCTGCCCTCACTGCGAGTCGGGTTTTGTCTCTGCACATGGCTTACACATGCACGTCACGCGAATGCATCGCGAGCACGTGCAAAGGTACATTCCCCCCTCCTTTGATCGCAGTCGGCACTCCAAGGATGGTCTACCTGTATGTTCTGCATGCGACAAGGCTTTCCATCAATGGAAAGGCCTACGTGACCATCTCTTATCGGGGGCCTGCACGCAGCCGGAACGACTGCGTCAGATCTCTCTCACCACTGAGGAACAGATGCAGGGTCAGGCCCTCCAGGGCCTGGCGGCCTTTCGCGCCAAGGTGCAGAGTTCGCCCAGCAACAAACTCAGTGCCATTGCCACCCGGCCAGAGGCTCAGGAGCTTAAGCATCGGTGCATTTTGTGCGGTTTTTGGACCCCGGACCATACCAAGATGAAGAATCATCAACGACAGGCCCATGCACAAGCATGGCAGCGAGATGGTCCGGCAGCACTTCAGCTTTGCAAGGCCTATTCTGTGCAGATGATAAAGGGGCACCCCTGCCCCTTTTGCAGGCTGCCGGTCTATGACAAACGCAAACACCCTGAGCAATGCATTGTCCTGTTTCAGGTTCTGCTTGGGTGGCACAAGGTGCAAGGCACGGACAAGATGCGGGAACAATGTTCCAAGCCTCATCCCAAGACCGCGGTGACAATGTCACTTAGTGGCTTTTTTGGGGCTGCAGACAAGCCAGCTACCGCGGCTGCATCACCCACTGTTGCCATGGCAACGACGGGCGCCGTCGGCAGCACTCTCCCGCCAGGCCTGTATTCTCGTATGCGACACATGGTGAACTCGGGTAACACCTGCTATGTCAATGCGACCATTCAGGCCCTACTAGCCGCGCTAGACTCTGCGTCCAATGTAGCGGAACTGGGACCACTGGTCCAACACTGCATCAACCCGGAAGCGGATCCAATGGATACGAGGCACATAAACCCTCCAAGCCTATTCGCTCTCCGGTCCTTAGTGCCTAGATGGCGATTCGATGGCCGTCAACAAGACGCCTCCGAATTTGTCACATACATGCTAGAGCACAACACGGGGACTCTGCAACCCGCTCGCTGGGAAGGACGCACTAATGGAGTGCCGGAAAGTGAGGATGACGGCCTCACGCCGTTGCTGCTGCCCCTTTCCTCAGCCTGTCGTACACTGCAGCAGGCCTGCACGGCATGGTATGACCACACGTTCCAGCGCGCCCTGGCATGGGCCCCTGACATCCTGCCAGTCACAATCGCTCGATGGATGGACGGCACAAAACGACGCACCCCGCTGGACCTGCGCAGGCACCTCTCAATGCCGTCTTGGATTGAGGGTCAGGGCCGGCAATGGCATCAATATGCAGTCATTTCGGGAGTTTTTCACATAGGTGCTGACATACACTCCGGCCACTACCGGTCCTTCTGGATTCACCCAAATGGAGGCGCGCTGTATGTGGGGGATGATGCCACCCGCCCATACCCAGCCTCGGCCTCAGATCGCAAACATGTTATGGAAGACTGCTACCTCCTTTTCTTGAGAAGACAGGAGTGACTCTGACTCACCCTCAAGGGGTGAGTGCTGGCCCTCCAAACCTAGGAATGCGTGCACCAATAGGGTGCCTGTGCGTGGGAAGGCCGGACCCCACAATAGGTGGGCATGGCCCCCCCCACGTCAAGGCCAAGCATGCTTTAGGCATGCGCAGGCTTACCCGCAGCTTTTCAGGCTGACCCAGCATGGCTGACACGATCCACAGCCCGGACCACAAAAGTGGTCGAACCGCCTCTCCCCTGGCTCCAGATTCACTAATGGGAGAGCCATCTGAGCCGCTTGGGGTCGACACTCGACGCCAGACATCCGGAGGCGGCAAGCAGCGGCAAGGCAGCGCCCTGCATGCCCTCTCCAACGCTGCAACCAATGGTGCCACTGGCAGACTAAGCAGTAAGTCGCGGAGGCCATGCCTGTTCTCACTTGCGTCTCTTCCGAGACAGACTGATGGCCCTTCTGCCGGATGCCGCCGCTGTCAGTCGGAAATCATGCCCTAGCCTGCTGCCGGTCGCGCTACTGCTGCTCTGCTGACAGCATACACAACGCGAATTCCGTTTCAATGTTCAGGTACATACAACAATCTGGAGCTTGATACCCTGCAGCCTGCAAACTCGCTTTGGCTGATCACTGCCAGTTAGCTCAAAGCCTGTAGGCCGCAACCACTCAAAGGTCTTTTGACCTGGGCGGATCAGCTATAGGGTCTGAGTCAGTTTCACACCAAAGTGAGTGCACCGCGGCAATCGCCCGCTATGTGCAGAGCCCGCTCGCACAGCGTTCAATTGAAAAAAAATAGTAGTAGTAGTAGTAGTAGTAGTAGACGGGGAGGGGGCCCCCCCCCCGTCCCAGGCAGAAGCCTAATAGGAAAATTTTCCTATTCTGACCCCCCCCCTCGTCCCCTCGAGATAGGCAGGGGGAATCATGGAACGCTCTTGCCGCATCTCGAGGCTGTGGCGCGGAGCTGCCTCACTGAACTTCGCTCTTCCTTGTGCGGACGGCGAAGTGACACAACACCACAACCCCAACTTTAGCTCGAGGCTAAGAGGTCAAGCAAAAGCAGAAGCATCTGCTGCCCAAGCATCTTCACAGCATCCATACCCCCAAGTTCCGAGGCAGCCAGGGTTCAAGACCCGCTGCAGGCTCTGCGAGCCAAAGCTGCCAAATCGTGAAGTGCTTGCAGATACTGCGGCCGTGTGGATGTAGTCTGTGCGGGTAACCCAGGTGCATGCAAGTTTAGGATCAACATGCACACGATCGATGCCAGCTGCTGAATAAAGAGCGCATGGGTCGCCCGAAGTGGTGGCTGCTGCGCTGAAACTAGCGGAAGATGCACCTGAATTCTTGGCCAGTCACGACGAATGCGCAAAGCCTGGCTCATTATCAAAGCCTCGAAGGGCTTGCTTCCTGGATTCTCAGGAAGAGTGGACACTAACTCTAGGCTGCGCGTTCTCCCAGTGCCATAAAAACAGCTCGTAGATTCACTAGCCCATCCACAACGCAGGGAGAAGGTGCAGCTTGTACTGCACATGACTACACAAGTTTTCAGCGCGTGCGGAAGGCAAGGTTGGCATAGGCCGAATAACCTCGATGGCAAAGCGCAGACAATCAAGTCTACATGTGCAAATGAGCTGACGCAGTGAGCGGCCTTTCGTTGTCGTGGCAGCCTCCTCCTGCACAGATATCCGTGCATGTGGCCTACCGCAGTTCCATGTTCCCCGAGACGTCAATGAGAGCCCAGCTTCGGGCAAGGATCTCTCAGGTGCACCCTGGATTCCTGGAACACCTGCGCCGCACAGTCGCTGCGGCATAGCCTTCTCTATGGGAGATCGAGGCGCCTCGAAGCGAAGGCCCGCCGGGCCCTTCGGGGCTGAGGCTGAGGCTGGTGTCCTGTCAGACTCGCCGCAACCCCCCATTGCCGCATGGTGTTGCGGTGTCTAGCATCTCCTGCGGCAATGCCGACGGCTCTGGCAGTTCAGGGACCGCCTCCATGCGGTGCTGTCCCGCTAAAGGCCGCTCAGAGTGAAACTGCGAGGTTCAGACCTTCGCCGTCTCCACTTCCGGCAACACCATCGGTGCGCCAGAGGTGTTGTTTAGGGACAACTCCTGCGCGGAGTCTCTCACAGATTCCCCAAAGTCCTCTTACTGTTATAAGAATCTCTGCCCTGTAGACATTGTAAAAGCTTGGATAATTATTTGGTCATTTAGTTGTCATGTGTTCGTCCCCTCACCTTGTCATTCATTTGTCGTTTGATTTGTCAGTTCCATGGGTTGTCCCTGCATGTTGTCATTTCCGTTGTCCGTTCCCATGGTTTGTCCCTGCACACTGTCGTTTTGCTCGTCGTGCGTTTGTCTGTACCTGTAGCTTTTCATTTCTTTGTGTCCCTTTGCTTGGCTTCGGAAACCAATGATTGTACAAGTTCCCTATGGACTCTGCATTGCCTTTGCCATGTGCGAAATGTTTTCGATCAGTCGGCAGGTTTGTTGACATATGTTTAGTTTCGGTTCATGTAACCTGTTTCGCAGCTACAAGCATGTGCCATCCCAGAAAAGCGGTTTGGGATCTTATAAGGGTTGGTGCTAGCTACTGCTTCAGATCAAACAGGATAAGCATACGTATACTGGCATGACGGAAGCTAGATTCTAGATGAAGGTGTAATCTCTTGTAAGTGCTACATGTGCGGATGCACATAGATACGGAAGGTAAATGTTGCTCTGGTTGGTGGCCGCCTGCGCATTCCGACCCAAACCTTCAGGCTCGCTTAAGCCCTAAGCCTAAGCAAGGAAGGTGACTCTTGTTGGTTGTATGTGGGCAAGGAGAGCAGGGCGGCAAAGAATATGACAACGGCCTGGCGGAGGACAAGAGAATGACAAGCAAAAGGACACGGGCCCGGCAAAGGACCAAAAAAAAACACAAAAACAACGACCAAAAGGACTGCAAAATGGACAAAAAAATAACGATTCCCTGGGGAATCGCCATTTTTGTTTGTCATTTCCCGCCCCCTCTCCTCCCTCCCCCTCCCCTCCTCTCTCCCTTCCCTGGCCCTTTCCCGGCCCTTCCTCCTCACACCCTGCCTGGCACAGCTTTGTTCCACGCAAAAGAGATCTATAGGGTTTCTTGTGGCAGACCTTAGTTTGTGAGGTTGTGTTTTCGCTGGTGGGCAGAGTAGGACTGAACCCATGCCACTGTAGCACTGAGCATAGCTATGCCTCCCACATCCCTGCCCTGCCTTCCCATGCCACCCCGGCCCTGACCCATCTGATGCTCATCTGCTGCAGCTTGGATGGTCGCTTGTGTGCTGCTGTAGGCCCGTAGGCTGTAGAGTCTGGTACTCTAGGCTTCCGAGGTTTTTTGTTTGCAAGCGGTTGTTGCCCAGACCCCTCGACTTGTACATGATCGCAAGCTGCTGCCACTGTGGCCCCTACAAATGTGCACAGTATGTAAAACGTATGTTAACTTGCCTTGGGCAATTGCAACATAACACAAAAACGACGAGGGCAATGACAAAACAAAGACTGCAATTGCAACATTACCAAAAAAGCGACAAGAGACGATGACTCTGGAATGACAACAAGATGACAAAATTAAATATTCTGCTATCCTCAGAGTCTGCAGAAGAAAATCTTATGATCTTACTGGGTCCTTGTCCGGTGCCTTGTCTTCAGCCCTGGGAGGCAACCTCACCTGAGTGCAGAAACGACATCGCAACCTTCACCTTCATGTACGATCCAAACTGCTGCCTCGCCTCCTCGCTCCCATCGCGAACTTGGATCACAATTGACTGCCTCACAGTGGCGTTTGTGGAGCAGTCTGGAGGAGGATGTTGGGTACAGTACTCCACTCGTTTCGGAAGATGAGGACTTGGACGGGAATCATGCATGGCTGTTGCCGAAGCGCTGAAAGCTCGACTCACAAATGCCACGACGTACAGAAGCTGATTGTAACTATCAACAGCAGGCATATCTCGCTTTGGCACGCACATTCTCCGCATTGATACCTATATTCTGCGTTTCAGCAGCGGTCTCGAATACCTTACTCTCACACGACGGTTTCTGTTTTGGACCGCACTCAGAATTTCCGTGGGCATTGCTACACCTGCATCGTTGGGTTGCTGTCGGATCCTAAACGAAATCTTGCAACCAAGACATGACAGATTGAAGCTTAGGGTGCTTTGGACATTTGTCCAACAGGGCGCAGAGAAGACATGACCCCCATCACTTCATATTTCTAGCCTGGCATCTTTCAGCAGTGCGAGGATGCTTTGCATTGCGAACATGGTAAGGGCACGACTGCCCTGAGCGCACTGTGATCTGGGTCGCGCTCTTCTCGCTGTCTCTGCCTCTATGCAGAGAATGTGGGGCCGTGGGGGCAGCGCTGCTGCAGCACTGCTGGGCTTCAGGGCTCGGGCCGCTCGGGCCGCTCGGATCCGAGACGGAATCGCTGAAGTTGCTGCGCGGGGGGGCCAGAACCTGATATGCTCAGGCGAGCGCAGCCCTGAGAAGTCCAAAATTGAAAGAAGACCAACAAGCCTGCTGCGTGGCATTGCCGACTTCAGCCTCCAAACGACTTGTCGCCGCCAACATGTGTTCATGTGACTCACAAGCCACCGCCATCACCGTCGCACTAAGCCACTGCAGCGCTGTTTTCGGAGGCACCCGTTTTGCTATGAGCTTCTCGAAAGCAGAACACTGTCACAACTGCTATCCGGCTTTGGAAGCGGCAATGGAGGGAACTCGCAGCTTGCGGGAGAGTTCAGGTTGCACATAGACCTCGTCTGATGTACGGGAGCCCTTCTCGGATCCCTCAACCACGGCTCTGAAGGACAGAGTCTCCCACAGGATGTCGGAAAATCTTGAATATTCCTAAGCAGGGCACCCAGACGGATGTGAGAGCTGGTGCACTTTTGCCAAGACATGCACCGGTGAGTAAAACACCGAATGCCAGATAAGTCAAGCATCGAATCCCCAGACCACAAGACTCAGCAGTGCAAGCATGCCAGGTCCTCCGTAAGGCTTCGTCCAAAGACATCCGCTCATCACGACAACCTCACTGCAGAAGAACTTCCGGCAAGCAACAAATCCACAATCTGCATTACTTAGATTTCTCGAGGGCCATGTGCGAACAAACAGTTTGCCATGCCTCAACTCTTAAATCCCAAGCCCAGACCACACACATCACGTAAACCCGACGAACGCCCAAGGCAAAGGAACGAAGATCGGCAGTGTCAATTGGACGTGCCGCAGCTGCTGGGCCCAGAAGTACCCTCCCAGATCCGGCTTCGTCGTTTCCGCAAAGACCACCAGGTAGCCTCCGGCCGGAGGCTGGGGGACCAGCTACACAAAGTCTGATGCTGACAACAGTCATTTTCTACCGGCCGTAGCGGTGGCACTAGCGGTTGCCGTCGTCCTCGTCCTTGTCATCGTCGTCGTCGTGGTCATGACAACAGTCGTGGCAAATCGTGATATTACTGACTGGATCACGAAATGTGCTGGAATGCTGCCAGGCACTGAAGACGAGGCGGTTGATGAGGAAGTATACGAAGCCGCACCACAGGGCAATGGGTGCCACCATGCTAAAGACCAGTGCAATAGCCAGCACCACGTTCAACCGCGCACTTCGAGAGCCGATGCCTGCGGTCACCAGGGAAGGCTCACCAAGGCTCAGGGGCTCACTGGACTCATGACTTGCAACAAGCTTGAAGAGCCGACATTTACAAAAAGCACTAAACTCCAGATTGGATCACCATAATAGTCTGGATCCTCCGGCTCTGAGAGCTCTTTGGCACGTGCTTCCTCGCTGACGGCTGTCCAGGCGAAGAATTTAAGCAAGTTCTGATAGCGAAGGATGTTCCTCGACTGAGAAATCCAACGAAACATCCGGCCGACAGGCCCCATGCCCATACCTTCAGAAAACTTACGGAGCCCCTCCTATAGCTGAGCTAAAGGCTTAGCCAAGCTTGTGCGTCGGGAAACAGGACTGACACCGACCACTGAAGGATGATATAGCTCATGTAAAAGGTAGAAGTGTTCGGCAAGCTCCCAGCCAAGTCGAGCACCACGGAGGTCGGAGAAGTCAAGACATCTGCGAAACGTTGCCACAATGAGGTTCCGATTGCTGTCACCAGGAGAACAAAGATGACCTGGAACCAGAAGTACCACTGCTGCAGGAAAAGCTGGCTCTGCGCTTTGGAATTGAGGGTGAAGGTGCTGGCAATGATGACATGCAGTGTACTCGGCAGGAATGCCATAAACACTGAAAGCAATAAGGTTGCGAAGATTCCCTCCATGACGGATTGCACCCAGGTCGAACTCGTGATCATGCGATGTACGAAATCAATTCGCTCCAGGTTCTCCAAGTTGACTATCGAGGAGGCTGCACCAATCAGCGGAAAGAAGAAAAGAAACACCATGAAGATAAGAGCATACCCGAGTAGGTAAAGCATCTGCCTGCGATGGACTCAGCGGAACAGCGAGACTCCCCTTTCGTTTACGGAACCTTTTGGATCGTTCGCCGTGCCTCTGGAACGGGCTTCGGAGAAGATCTTCGTATGAGACATCTTTTGGAATCGGCGGATACTCCATGGTGAAGAGATGGCCTGCAGTCCAGTACACCGACGGAGAATTGCGAACAAAAAGGCTGCGTAAGAGGTTTCCAACAAGAGGCACTCCAGTCCCAGTCCTCGCACAGCCTTCAGTTACCACGCAACATCCGGCTACAGTCACCGGCAAGTTCTCCCTAATCGCTCAGTTGTATCGTCAACTCAGACAATCGGTCGGACCACAAGACCCACGCAGGAGAGAACAAACATTCACCTACACTCGACACATAGCTCCTGCGTTCAATACCAAACATAAGTGTGAATAGCATCGGACTATTCCGAAAACATCCGAAGCTACACTTTAGGGCCCTATCATCCTTATTGCTCATTTCGGCCTTCTGGTTCCAACCGTAGTCGGAGAGCCATCTCCGCATCACGGGAAGCCTTGAACGTCACGAATGCCGCTGCGCCACTGTATTCTGCCTGCATCGGCAGACAGTGGAGCAGAAGCTAGTTTCTGAGCTCAGTGCTACGAATGAGCCTCATCGAAGCTGTCTGCTTGACGTATCTGGTCCCTCTCACCTTCGATGTGGCGCTGCAGGTGCTCCTTAGGCTTGCACAGGCGACGCCGCAGAAGCACACCAGCTTCGCGGCATGTTCGTCTTGTCTCTGCGCCGTAGTTCGGGTTTCATCCGAAACGGACCGGCTTTATCATCGTCTCAACATCTCCAGCTAGACAAAGCTCATTCAAAGCTCTCAGGCTTGTGGATTCCACATCGAGGCTTGGACGCTCGAAGATCGAATCGGTGTTGAATACTTATCTGTGCGACTCTGCATCTCAAGTCGACCCTTGAGCCCAAGGAGAGATGATGCCCAGCTGCTACAAGCTTTGTGTAGTGATCGATGCTGTCCACCGCCTCTGCATCTTGAAGAACTTTGATTGTTGGTCGCTTCTCGGGGTCCTGGACACATTAATCTGGCCCAGCTCCACAAGCAAAACTCGGAGTCTTCAGTCCTTGTTTGCCAGGAACCAAAGGTAGTGCGACTCATGTAGTCGCTGTTCGGCAATCGAGAACTCATCCAGCAGGGCCGCCAAGCTGGAGAGCTTCTTGACGATATACACTCTCTCAACTATCCCCCCAGGGAAGAGATAGTCGAAGTATTCTTTCAGCTTGGCATCAGACCCTAAGTTGGGTCGGAATGTGCTAAGAAAGTCGTGCAATGCGTCAGGTCCAGAGGCCCAGCCAGACTGCGACCAAGCATCTATAGCTTGGAGGAATGTTGGTGACCAAAATCGTTGAGGACTGTGGCTTGGGGCGCTGCTGCAGCCATGCAACGCGTCGCTCCACGAACTTCCTTTCATGCATTTATTCATTTAAGCTTGCACCACCCTCAACAAATTGCAATGGTCATGGCCCAACATTCAACAGCTCATCCAAGAGCAAAGGAGTTTGTCGAAGACTGCGTAGCTTACATAAGGCTTACGGGCGAACTAGCGGCAAATTCAGTGGCTCCTTGCATGAGCTGAGACGCCAACTGGCCAACTACCCGCTGTCTCGGCTACATTGGCCTACATGTGCCGGAGCAGCCACGAAGGTGACACTCGCAAACTCGCAGGCCACAGGCTGAAGCCGCATTTCCGATTTCGTCCAGTTCAACAAGGACAGTGGTCACACCTACGGCTTCTTGTAATGAAAAGCTCATGCGCCAACGGCCTGGCTTCCCTATACAGGACTTGCCAAAACCCCAGAACCTCCCTCAACTTCGCCCAATCGTAGGCTTGTAGTTCTTGGATCGGGTTTGTGAGGATCTGGCTGGATCTGCCGTATAGCGTTGCCGGCTCTTTCTTTCCTGTCTCGTCGGGACCTCAGTGACCTCTCTCTCTGAGATGGTGCCAACCAAACTGTCTAAGAGCCACTCTGGTTCTGAGTGCCTGTTTAGTCTTACTCTCCACTTGTCCATGGTGTGAAAACGGACAGAAAGTAGAATCCGCAATATCGGACCGTATGTACTCAATGCAGCCTGGTTTCTTTTGCGCCTGACGTAGGAGGCGCTGTACAGCCCATACAATCATCCAAGTGGTAGCAGCCAAAATCCAACCTGGATGAGCCGTAAACCCTTCTTGAAAGAAATGAGAAAACGTGCTTTGCTTGAGCCGAGGAGCGCATGGCGAGCCCATTGCAGCGTAAGGAGGAAATGCTAAAGAGGTCCAGGGAGCTTCGAGGGACAAACTGCACCGTACTGGTGCAGATGTCTGCATTTGGACCTAGGGGGCTAGGAGGCACAGAAAGTCAGAACAAAGACGATCGGCCTCCAAGCCTCAAAAACATCTGGCTTCTCAGCTGCGGCGCCCGGATGCTTGCCCATGACGTAGAAGACCGGGAGACAGACCACAGTGAGGGGGATCCCCAGATAAATGCAAATCTTCATGCCGAGGTTGCAGAACTCGATCATCAACGCACTGTCCAGCCCAGCATACTCTTCGACCTCCTCCGAGCTTAACCAAACGCCGAACCATGAAGGGTGGGGCTCGGGTGCCTTCTGGATGGTTGTGTTGTGCAGATATACAAGCGGCTTCCACCTCTGAAATACGACGAAGAGTACCAGGTAGGCGGAGATCAAGCCGATATTGAAAAGAAAGGAAGCTCGCAACGCCTCGGAGTCTGATTCGCTGTTGGCTTTCAGCCCCAGCTGCTCTTGAACAATCTGACTTCCATCGTTATCTTTCTCTTTGTCCTTCTTGGCAGTACCATTTCGGTGTTGAGTCGCAGATTGCAGCAGGGAATGCTCACGGTCGCTGCTCGACACATTCGGCAAGGCTGTCGAACGTGTCCGATTAATAGTGTCAAGCGCGTGTTTCACTCCACTTCCATTAAAGGTTTGTGCGGCAACCTGGATGAGGAACAAGTCAGGCAAGTCAAAGACGTCTGCCGCGGACTCTGCATTTGCGGCCAGCAGTAGCACGAAAAGCCGCACAGCACTAAGCATTGGAAGATCAGAAAATCAAACGAAGTCCATGGCAAGTGCCAAGCGTTCGGTCGCGAATGTAGAATGTACAGTTGGGGTACAGATGCCGGCAGTCTCCAAAAGCCGATCAGAGGCATGCATGCAACTGCCACAGCACGCCGACAAGATTGCAGAAACAAACATGCAAATACTTCTTCCTATCCATTGGGCTCCGGGCAAAGCTGGTTTCCGGAACTTCGGAACCTGCAAGAAGTCTGAGCAGGTTGGGAATGCCGAAAACCAAAGCGACACATGATGACATGATGTGGATGTGCACACATGTGTGGTGTGTCTCTGCCTCTCTGCCTCTGCTTCTCTATCTGTCCTTCTTTGCTTGTGCTTAGGTTGCTTCTTGAGACCTCTGTCTGCCTTCCTTTTGTCGGCTGAGTTGAACGAGTGGACTATACATCCTATCCCCTCGAGATATCACTCTGTCTGTCTTCTTTTCTGTCCGTCTGTCCGTCCATCAGCCTGTCTTTCTTTCCCCAGGCTTGAGGGCGAGCCCAGTCTGTCTGATCTTCTCTGTCTGTCTGTCGTTTCGGTGTCTGTCCTGCTCCTGCTCATGTTTTAATCGCGCAAAAAAGACACTACGACATCAAACGTAAAAGGTGAGGCAGGGTGTGTAACCAGAATGACGGCGTGAACACGTGAACACACGGTAGACAAGGTGAGGATATGAGTATACATGCCTTTGTTTACAGGCATGTATGTAAATGCTCATGTGTCTGTATGTGCACATCTGTGCAACGTACCAAGACCTCAAATGCATGCATGTACATGCGTTCTGTCGTTTGCGTACATAAGCGCATGGAGGATCAAAGTGGCATAGCTATGCATCCGCTAACAGTACATATACACATACATACAGACAGCCCTACAATGCCCTACAAGTACATGCATGCACCCAAGTATGCTAAGACATTTATTCAAATACATGCACATCAACGTTGCCGGACACTGCGACCAAACAGGCAAAGGCCACTACGCGATTAGATCGATCCGACAGCATATACAGCAGCTGATCGTCTTTCCAAGATGATCCACCGGGCGATGCTGTAGTGTGCCACGCACCCAACTATCGGGTGTGTCGGCTCCTGTGCACCACGATGCCACCCCAAGCGAAGCACGGCAACAAACCCTGGCCTTAATCCCGACCCAAATCCTAATTCCTGACAAGCGGCACAATAAGATGACCCAAGCTCTAAACCATGAGCCTGCAGCAGCTAAACCCGAAACGCGATGCTCAATGCACCTCGTCGATATATGCCCTAGGCCCTAAGCCCGAAGCCCTGAGCCCTAGACCACAAGGCGAGAAACCTCAAACTCGAAACCTTTAGCCAGGGAAGCACCTAAACGCCAAACAACCCCATATCTGACAGAAACCCCGTCCAATACAAAACCCTGTCTGACAGACAACCATGCAACTGCAAATTTCTCTTGTGGCTGCTACTACATATTTGCATTTGCTTTAGGCATGGGTCAAAGCGAGGGTCCCACATCTAATATGTTGTGGTCAGCCTGGTGGATGTCGGTTCTGACAGGAGCTTAATGTCTGCGCTCTTGTTATCCTAGCTATCCGAAAACCTCATTTGTATTCAAACTCGCAGTATGTGTGCCCTATTCATCTAAACTTCATCTAAACTTATTGAAACCTGGTGCTTACTATTGCAACTAGGTGCAGCAGACCTTTACAAGCCATTTCAGCATTCCTGTTCTGCATACTGAAGCATGGCACCAAGAACCATTCAGTCACAGTTCAAACCTTCGGCAGTTTCAAGAAAATGGCAGGACCAGTCTGTCACATCTCCATTTACAGAGAGCAGTCTCGCATCATGAACGTCCAGTTGTTGTATACACACAAGCACGCACACACACACACACACAAAACACCCGCAATGACCGCTGCTTAGTTGCCTGAGCCCTTTCGACCCATCCCAGCATTCATGAACCGCTTTCCATCGGACAAGCGCGGACAACCCGGGGCAGGTGCTTGTCATACCTATCTACAAGTGTACGTACAACCATACATTCATACATACATACATCCATACATACATACAATGCGGGGAGAATTATGCTGCACATGTGCACTGTTTGTCTGAATTGCTTTGGCACTGTCTGACTGATACTCATGCACGCTGTGTTTGGTCCTGCCCATGTCACGGGTGCAAACATCAAAAGATACTTAGACATTCATCTATACCTATGCACATTTCCGATTCTCGATACATATGTGACAAATTTTAACATGCGGGCTTTTTCATAGTATCTACACAGCGATTTTATACCACCTCCGTGGCTGTCGGGCCCTGGCCGCCAAGTCTAGTTACGATGGAGTTTTGTACTACCTCCATGCCCTTGGCCGTCCGGCCGCCCTCCAGTTGTTCGAAAAACTTCACCGTTTTGATTATGCTCATGAAGACATCCAGATAGTTGACTGCATGATCGTATGCCAGATGCGAATGTATATGTCATGTAAACGTCTGCATTCTTACTCAAGTGGAGGCAGAAAAAACATGTGCACACGTGTACACAGCCACACACACAGAGACACGGACACACCCTCAAGCAAATGGGCAAGCGAGTGTGGGCGTGCGGGAACGAGGAGTGCTCATGCTTGCTCATGCCAAGTGCAGGCATGATGCGAAACCACCGGGGACTTCAGATCGTGGTGACTTTGGAACAAGTGGATGCAGAAAGGGAGGGAGAGAGAGAGAGAGAGAGAGACATACCCCCACACTTGCGGGCCCACAACCGCAGCATCGATGCAAGACAATGATATCTGCGAAAACTGTGGGGCCGAAGACTCGTGAGTACTTGCTTGCTTTTCAAACAACAAGAGAGCAGCTAGCCAAGACAAATCCTGCCAGAGTGGCACAAATGTGCTGGCTGCTGTGCTTCCTTTTGGGGATTTTCGCGTCCCGGCCTGGTCTATGAGAAGGCGGCTCCAGCGTGGTCTCCTGACAACACCGCAATATCCGAAGGCGCCCTTGATTTCATGTCTAACGGAGACTGAGCTGAGAGTACCATCGCGGTCCGGCTTGCTGATTTGGAGGACAATTTCCCGATCTCCAGCTTTAACCTCGAGAAAGGATGATCAATGGCAATCATGCTGATCAATGCAATCGGTAGCAATACCACGACAAAGCCTTCTGTATCGGCTGTAAACATCAAGCCTTAAGTATGTTGTAGAGCGGCAGGAGATACGAGAAGCCCGTCATTTTTCATCATTGGAATCAGAACGCTGCACTCGCAACTCGAGCATCGAGCCGTGATGGTGTTCTCCTGCAAGGCGGTGCCCAAGGAAAACTGCGAGTGGAAAGCCAAGACAGGTAAGCACAATGGCTGGCAAGGGCTGTCCTTCTCAACTGCCTTCAAGGCTTCTCGGGTGCTCCCACCGGTCTGCCAAGCTGCTGATTTTTCCAAGGGATGCAAGGCTGAGTCTCTCTGCACTCGCCTGGGGTGGAGAGTCCTCGTAGTTCCACTGCCTCGAGCACCATTCGGATACAGGACAACACGGCTTCTGAGAAGGTCGGTTTCGGTTGAGCTTTTGAATTCTGCTTCCACCAAAAGACCAATCCCTTCTCCCGACAGTGTCTTCGACACTGCCACTTGAACAAAACTAATTGGTATCCGGAACTGCTTCGACTTCCTCAGGAAGTGAAGTGCCCACAGAGCGCAAAGCAACAAAGTGTCCATCAGAGTCGAGTTCAAACATTTGGGCAACAAAACACGCATCGACTCCTCTCGACTTCTGGATCATAGGTCCCAGGTCCTAGGTCCTGTGCCTACGCCTCCCCTGAATCCTTCGACCCCTGGGAAATCCCAAGGAGCCGCTCGCTTAGCACCGTGAGCTCGGCCCGAAGATGCTGCAAGTTCTGAGTCAAGTTGTCGTAAACCATGCGGGTTTCTCGTGTTACCACAAGCATGTCTATGGCCTTAGCAGGCCCCTGCAGACGAATACAGCCGTTCAGAAACTCTTCGAAATCGATGGAGCCACTTTGGTTGACATCCAACATGTCGAAGAGGAACTTGGCCTCGGATGGCTCGATGTCGAGGTCTTTAAAGAAGTCCTGGACCGAATGATCCTTCGTGTGATTCAAGATTTCGTTGTAAGAGATCTGACCACTCTGGTTGTCATCCAGAGTTCTAAAGAGCTTCCTGGCCTTCATGGCCCTTTGTACGTCCTTCACCTCCTCGGCCCTCACGATCGCGCTCTGCACGAACCTAGATTGCTCGATGTCATACTATGTACTAACGACCTGAAAGCTCGATCCTAGGACCATAGGGCCTAGCTTTTTTGCCTTTTGCACAGTGTCATGACAACACTACACGGACTATCTTGCGATAAACGGGCCAGCAACGTTCCAGTGACAACATTGAGCACACCCACAATCGCGAAAGCGAAGAAGGAGACCAGCCCAACGCCGACCACAGCGCTAAGCTCGAAAAGGGGCGCTACCAGGACATCCCAGTCAACCCCACCAGTCATAGCCTCGAAGAGAGAGAGCATGGAGCGCGGTACCGAGCCAAAGAAAGCCTCCAGTTCGTGGCCCTGCTGGCTTTCCACACGATAGAACAAGAGCAGCTGTGTTATGTAAATGCCGGCGATGTACAGCATCAAACCCAAGAGGACGAAGGTCCAAAAAAAGGGGCGGGAGCAGTAGAGGAGACAACTGACGAGAAGCCTCAAGTCCGATGCCATCAGGGCGATACGGAGCACCCTCAACACTCTGACGGCACGTAGGATGCGAGCAATTCTCAGCAGGGTGGTTGGGGAGACCTGCTGCAGAGGACCCCGAGGATCGGGACCAGAGAGCGCTAGCAAGAGCTCTTCCACCAGCTGAAAGCCTACCAGCAACAGATCGAAGACGTTCCATGCCCAGCCGACCTGCGTAAAGAAGTCCAATCGGTGTGCCACCAATCGCACGCACAGCTCCAAGGAGAAGACGATGCAGTAGATCACCTCTGATGTGCTCGCGAGTGCCGCTAAAACTTGAACTAGAGAAACTTCGTCCGTGCAATCGTTTATGGCAGTGACTCGTCATGCCTTGCTGATATTTGCTGCTTGCTGTTTTTATGAGACACCTCCAAGATCCGATGGCCAGAGGCGGTCTCTGTAACGAGCCTCTCGGCCATGTCATTTGTGGAGAAGCCTATCTGCAGCGCACTGGAGCAGATTAACAGGATGGTCATGATTTCGAAGGAGCTGCTTGTAGCTATATTGTAACATCGTCTATGGAAGGCAGATCTAAAGACTTTGACATGGAAGTCGTCGGCTCCAGCTACCAGGCCCATCCCACGACCGACCATATCCACAGGTTCCGTTTTCCGCTCAAACAGATTCAGCTTCGCCTCCTCCCGATCGAGACCCTGGACCCACTTTGCATCCTTCTTCGAGAGTGTTCTCGGTATTGACTCGCCAGCACTTCCGTCTTTGATCACTGCAAGTGGGTTTTCATCGATCACGGGTTGCGATGGTTGCGGTGCAGGTACTTCTTGCACAGTGCCAGGGATGTCGGCTGGAAGGATGAGCTCCTCCACCCCTTCACTGCTCGAAGAAGTTTCAATAGAGTGTTGCGAAGCCTGCTGCCGTGGAGGCTTCAGATGATTCAGATGCGTGAGATCATGGAGTTCTTGGGTGCTTGTACCACTCCAGGACGTCGGGAGGGAGAGCCTCCTTCGTCTTACGATCGGAGTGACCTCGGATGCCATGGCCGAAAGCTTCCTGACTTTCTCGCTGACGGCCGCCGTGAACATGTGCTTGCTCATGCCGCTGGTCTGAGCACCAAAGGCCTCGAAGCCCCCAACTTTTTGAGTCCTTGCCTGGTGCAGCTCATCCAGCACAGCAGCTATGTCCCTCCGCACGCCGCTGAACTCCTCCTGAAGGTACCCTCTCAGAGATTCCAGAGCTTCATCATGGCCGAACGCCATAGGAGAACCTGATTACTACCCTGCCGGCTGAGACCCGTACGCGGCACTCGACAACCAGGCTGCGAGATTCCCGAGCATATTGCAATCACGGCCAGCATTCAAGCGATGGAGGTAGTGTACAGAAAACATGCGAAACTATCCCAATCCCTCAAGGTCTACTGCATCGAATTAACGAACTCTGCTGCAGAGGTGCTTTTCGAGCTGTGATGCCGAAGTAGCCTTGCAGAAGAAAGCGCTCATCCAAATGCCGACTGTGCAGGGACGTACGCCGGCATGGCTGTTGAGAACTTGTGAGAACCATCGACAACCCCGCCTCCTTGTCAAGCAATGGCGGCTCTCGCCATAGGCTGTCGGGTATGGATGCATCCGACTCCTGCACAATGCAGCAGTCGTCAACTAGCAAAGGTTTGAAGTACTTTCAAGATTAGGACCCCATGCCACGGTTCCGAGATTGGACAAACACAGACGACACTCATTCCAGCTTGCTGGAAGCCCCCATGTGAAAAGATGTGAAAGGTCTGACTTCAACTCAGACTAAAGGTTCGCTGATCGCAAAATTGCCCGTGGTTCAAGTGCACATTGCAAAAAAGTTAGAGCTTTGGAACCCAGCCCACTCAACATTCCCAGCCTTAAAAACCCGGATTTGGCCATTTAAGTGTCGAGTGTGTTAGAGTTACGGAGCTTAGGGAGGGTTTTGCATTGCGGGTCCAGGGTTGGGACCCACGGTTGCCACATGGCCCAACGAAGACTATGGCATCCCGTACAAAAGCCAGGACGCTGGAAGAGTGCAACTCCACAAAATCATCGAACATGCGTGCGCTGCAACCCCTCCAAGAAAGGACTGCTTCCTGCAACTCACCGATGTCAGAAACCAGAAGTTCCGACCACCACACCGCATCACCAATGCAAAAAACCTTGGTAATGCTCCAAGAAAATGCAGGGTACGCCGAGATACTCCCAAGTTCGGGGATCTAATTGATTAAACGTTGCAAAAGCCAGAGCCCTAGAGACTCACAAGCACAAACTACCGAAGCAAGGCCGAAAATCTCGTCAACAGCCCGGTCGTACGGAAAAACAGATTCTTCCTCTTAGTTTCCCAAACAGGACAAGAAGAGTGCCTGATGCTGCAAGAACGCTTCTTGACACCATGACACCATTCTTGAGGCAGTTGTTTATTTTGCTCCTTCGTGTCCGCGGCACTGTGCAGCGTTGGGTCGAAATCCTGGCGAGTGCAGCTGGCGCATAAACACGCCAGTGAACAACGTCCGCTTCCTGCACAGCCTTTGCAGGCTGCGGCGTCACCGAACCTTCGAGCAACGAAGCTACAAAGTCTGTCGCATGCCGTGTAACTCTGAGAAACCTCTCAGGAATGCACCGCGTAGCCTAGCGATTTCCGCACTTTGCTCCGCGATCCTGCCCAGCACGCTGTGAGGGATAACAACCTTCTAGGGATTCAGATGTCCTGCTTCTTTCAAGAAGGAGCTGTTGTCTCAGACGCTCCACTTCTGCCTCGACGCAGCAATCTTCAGCCACATGCTGCCGCGCGGTACCAAAACAGCCCAGGTCTGCTGCGGATGATCTGGACATATCGGGCCTTTGGAAGTCTCCCATCCCATGCCGAGAAATGTGCCCAGCATGTGTCAAAATGATGGTGAGATAAGGCCGGAGCGCAGTTGAAGTTTCATCACCTGGTGCTGAGGTTGGAGACATGTGGCCAAAGCAAACCCAAGATACTTTGCCAGGGCCCTGCCTGTTGGCTTTTGACGGGTCCAGAGTCCTATCTCGAAGCTCTGCGAGGACAGGAAAGGCCTCGGCTGCAATAGCGCCAGCGCCCGGGGTCGAACGGTGAACACTTGCGACAGCAAGCAGTAGGCCATTGACTGCATCCGCTTCAGTGAAGGATCATCACTCAATAGCGGCCTCCGTGGGTTAGCGCTTAGCTTGCCCCTGCCAGTATCTGCCACTATGCTACTCAACTTAAGCCGGTCTGCACAGTGTCTTCACAGTTTCAGGCGGGATGGATCATGCTCAAGCATGATGGTTCGCATCCCGAAGCGCAACAATTGCAGTATGTTGATGTGACTCAGTATGCGAAGTAGGTTCTTTGTGCATCTATTTAGCACTATCCCCACAAAGACAGCCCAAGTACACACGCATAAACACAAACCAACACCAACACCAACGCCAAAACCCCTAAGTTTTACACTCACCAAACCCCAAAGTAAACCCTACCTTGTGTCGAACCATGAGGAGTTGCATCAGACAGGCCTGTCATCCTCTGACGCTTCGAAAGAGGCGTACAGCACCAGGCAAAGACCGCCAGCAACTTGGCAAAGCAGACGTCCAGCATATTTTGTGGATTGCCCGGCATTGCCCGATGCAATGCTTCCAACATCTAGAATCAAGCAGAAAGAACCATTCATCCCGTGTGGTCTGAGGTCGCTGCGGCATAGTGGGACGACAAACTTCCAACAGCTTGTCCTCACCAAGGTACCCAGCTGAGTGCGCTACTCGTACCCCTTACTTGATGACAATCCTGCTCCATCCCTACCCTCTCTGTCTCTCCATAAGCTTTCGTCGGGAGCTCCAGGTTTGCTTGGCATCACTATGCATCACTGATGCCCTAGAGAAACTATGATCAGGAGTCCCCGAGAGCATCGGAGAGCTGTGAGAGCCAGTCTTGGATATAGATACTCCAAGGCATGAAGGGAAGACACTGTACAGAAGTGCCCAACAACTCAGCAGTCACCCATCCTGCAGCTTGCGGCAACGAATCCTTCCGCACGGAGCTGCCGTCAAACAGCGTAGCTTACAACTCAAGCTTGACTATGTAGGGTTGGTAGCTTCCCCCACAGCTCCCAGGAACCCAAAATGCAGCTTACATCAAAGATATTCCAGCTTCATCAGCCACCAACACCTGATCAACACCGGTCCTCTGCTGAGGGTAGGCATTGAACCTGAATCATAGCAGGTTGCTATGCAAAAGACAGAAGCTCATGAGCGAAGCGAAGTGTGAGTTCCTGGCATTGCCCCGGAGGGCCCAACACCCGCACCGCTGGCCGTTGCTGCCTCAGCTTGGGTATCGGAGCCCGCCACCACCACAAATGCTAAGCAAGATCTGTGAAAACCAAAAGCTTAACAGCCGCTACGACATTATATGAAGATCAGACTTCACAAGCAGACATACAATAATGCGCAGGAGACAGGAAAGTGCAGCAGCGTCGACATCCTCAGACACGACCGCCCATAAACAGCGCAGGGGAACTTTTTCCAGAGTGTCCACGGACGTTCACAAGCTCTCCTCGCTATTTCAAATCAAGCCTATCTTCAGCTCAGAGAAACATGTATAACCAGCTATCCTGTCGAGCGAACGATGTTCACGAAACTTCGTTTCTGGCCGAACCACCTTCGATCGTTCCGGAAGTCAGGTAGAGGATAGCCGACGCTCTCACACAAGGTCGTAATGCCTTCCTCGTCACGAGTGCGACTCCAAGGGTACAGCACGGCTCGAAGCGCGGCAAAGAGACAGCTGACGTGCCTTTGCAAAGGCTTCGATGACTCGAGACCGCTAAGGCTCTAAGGACAACGCTTCAGCACGAACCCTGCTGCCACCACTCCTACTCAGAAGCCCACCTAGCGGCTTAAACGAGAAGGTCTTTGCACGGACAATTGCGAACATATCCAGCCGCATCGAATGCAGAAGAAACTGGGGTCGCAACTATGTCTCACGACCTTGGTGCTTGCAGCTTCGTGTCGCACATGCACATAAACTGTCGTAAGACACTACGCTATTCTAACGCATAAATACTGGTTGAGAGGCGATCTGGGGCGTGTTTGACAATGACAAGAAGTGCAAGCAGCCACTTTGTGCATAACATGTTTGCCAGCAAGTTGCTCACATCCATCTCCTTTGCACAAGTCAACGGTCCTATGGACACGCCAGCTCGTGCATCTTGAGCCAGATTGAAGCGGAAGGCAGCTGCTGCTTGTCCGTAGAGGCGCTTCTTGCATTATCACAAGCTAGCACAAGTATCTTTGGTCCTACAAAATGCTCTGCTGCAGCAGCGCTTCGCGGCTTCGCGGCGTCACTGCGCTGCGTTTACACCTTGCTGGCCCAGGTCACACCAGGCAACACGTCTGAACAGCCGACTGGCGTGGCAATCATAAGAGAATAACAAGCGGGATAAATACGAAAGGCCAGACTGAGGTAGACAAGAGAAAAGAAGTGAAGGCTACGACTAAGCACACAAGAGAAAGCGAAGCTACATGTTGATCCAAGCCTCGCCTGTGCAGCGATAGCAGGCAAAGCTTGCCAGGTGGCACATAATGCAAATTCAGCGCTTCATACTTCTCTCTTCAGAACAGCCATGATTGGCGTATTCTGCTGACCTTTGAATTTTCAGGATTGTTCCCCCAAGGTAGGCAAGTCCAGCGAGGCGAAGTGGAGCTGCCCTCTGCGCTTTGGTCCGGGAGCCGAAGAGCCTCCAAAGCCACCAGCCACCTTCTGCCGCAAAGTGGAACGTGGCCATCGTTCTTCCTGCTTGTTTTCCAGACCCTGGACCCTAACAGCAGACAATTCAAGCCCGAAGTCCTCAGAGGGAAAGACAAAGCAGGAACGGTTGCAAACCTTGAGGAGTCAGGAGTTAAAGTTCGGGAGTTTGGAAGGTGTGTGCGGCTTCTGGGGTGGGGTCATTGCCAAAAACTCAAAGGCTCACGGCTGAAGCATAGCAGGGTGTAGGGTCCAGGGCCCATTGTGCTCCTCCTCCTCCTCCTCCAGGTACTGCAAAAGTGCGATGTACGAGAAGGAGACCGTGGCGAAACCCATGGCTTGAGTCGCAAATTCCAACATCGACTATGGTGACTATGGCACATGGAGATGCATCAGATTAATGCATCCTTGATCGCCGCATGTCATTCGGAAGGGTTCCTTCGGCAGTGTTGACAGTTGGGCGAAAGATTCATCATCCACGAAAAGAGCAGCCAGTACGCGATTTACATAGGTCTGCGTTGCAGGTGCATCGTCTCGCTGTATCCACAGAACAGGCTCCGATCCGGTACAATCACCGCGCCAAAGAACATCCGCCTCCCCTTCTCGAAAATCGGTACCTGCATCTGTGTTTTCGGCTACCTGCTGCAAGACTGAGTTGAGCTCATCCTCAGAGGAGAAGAAACCCCATGCGCGCTCATGCAGAGTCTCTTTCCATGTAGCAACTGCAGCATTCACTTCCTCCTCGTTTCGGGACGTGGCCGTGGCAACAGAAGCGTGTTCGTCGGTCTGCTTGCGTGGCACTGCCAAGCTGTCATCTTGCCGTGTCACTTGCTCCACCGCTTCTTCGAAGTGCTCCTCTCCAAACGCATCCTTCAGGCGAGCTTGGGCCAATCGCAGGTTCTGCAAATGACGCAGGAGTTTCAAGCGCTCTTCGGTGCAGTCCTCAACCCACTGGTCATTTGGCAACTTCTTACACACATCTACCACATGCGCTGGCAGTTCCGTGAAAAAAAATTCCAGGAAACGATGGAAGTGAAGACTGCAGCGCGATACAATCTGTCTCGAATCCAGCTTCAGCGAAAAGCTAAAGGCAGACGTAAGGTGCTCTACACGAGCGAACGGGCATGTCTCCAGCTGACCGACAATGCCCAGTGCTTCGCCAATGCCTTTCAACGGGAAGGTTGAGAACAGCACCTCTCCAGGAGGGAAGTCCTGCATCTTCATGTCTTGCCAAAGCAGAGCCTTCAGAGATTCTATCGCTAGCTTCATTCGTCCAATGCGCTCCGGCGTAGTGTCTGCCTGCAGGACGGCGTCCAGCTTGGCTTGCACGTGTTGCTTTACGTCCAACACAGCACGTAGCATCTCATGCTCGACCTTGCGCAAGCAAACCTCAAGCTGCTTCGGCCAGTCGAAAGTGCCCTTGGGTGGCGGCCCCAGGGCTATGTCTTCCGGCACTGCACTCAACAGGTCCTGCTGCAGCCGCTGTACCAAAGTGTGGTAGAAGCCGCCGCTCTGCCAAGGATTCGCCAGCACACTTACGACTATCGCCTGAAAACGGCTGGCAAATATTTCTTGGATCAACGAACTGGACACAGCTCTTTGCCCGTTTTTGATGGTTGGATCCCGTGGACTTTCATGGGCCTCGTCTTCAAAAGAGGCTACGGCACGAAGGGAAGCAGGAAGCAGGTCAGTCTGAAAGCGAAGTTCTGCCACGTGGTGCGGAGCCATGGCCCTTGGCTGGCCAAGAGCCTGTTCGCGAGCTGCTGTTAGTGCCTCGTGCTCTCGAGCCAATTTGATAGTGTCACTTAACCAGTTGTCACGGACGAAGTCATCCACGGCATCCTTGATGTGCCGCCAAAGACTGTTGCAGGTTGTCCTGCTTTGCAGCAAAGTGCTGAAATCCTCCGCAGCGCCTGCTCTCCATTGAGTCGCAAGCTGCTTAAAATATCTTACTTCCCACTGCGCCATTGCATCCACCCGCGACAGGCTCAACCACCCCTTATCTTCACCAACATCGTTCAAAGCGGTGAGAGTGTAGCCCAGTGCAAGAGGCACCCCACCACCCGCATCTGATGCTCCCTGCAAGAGCTGCAGGAGCCGAGGGCCATGATGCTTCAGGAATGTGCTGTGCAGGCAGGTCTCTCCATCTGTTAAGTCCCCGGTCAGCACATCTGTCATGGTCAACACACCCAGAGCTCTGCTTTCAAGCCCAAGCTCCTGGACCAAACGCATTGCCAAGGAGTTGTTCGGCTGCTCTGATGCCTTGACAGCAACTACGAACAGGGCGGAATTCCGATGCTTCTTGGCAAAAGTTCTCACCAGCCCCGCAGTTTCCTGTGCAACATCTGCTGGACGACCTCTGGCAGAAGCAGCAACCAAACCTGGACAATCCACGACATCCAAATTTGGTGCCTTCGGTGAGCTAAGCTCAATGACCAAAGCCTTCTTTGTGCAAAGTCCATCCGACGGCTGCAGCGGTGCATCGCTGACTGTGGCAGAATAAAAGCTAGGGTCTTTGTTCGGCATTTCTTGCCTCAAAGCTTCAAGCCGAACTTGCCGTGTCATTTCCTTCATCACTGCAGCACCCAGCTCATCGAAGTCAACTTCCGCTCCGTTTTCGTCATCGAACTGTAGCGACAGGATGTCTTGCACAAGTAATCTTAACTTTCGAGAGGGCCCCCTCCGCAAGCACACCTTTATGAGGGAACGGGTGCAAAGGTCGGCATTTCTGGGGAAAATTGGCAGACCCGTTAGCCTTTCCAGCAGCGTGGACTTACCAGTGCTTTCCTGACCAAGCATAATGACCTGTGGTGCACTCCAGTGCTCTCGCTCCACAAGTTCCTTCAGCGGGTCTATAACATCAAAAAAACCGGCGCACCTTTCTGCACTCCATGTTTCCAGAATGCCTGACCCCTCGTTGAAAAGCACTGTCTTTAGATGCGCATTAAACTTGTCCACATCTGGAATGGAGGCCAGAATTGCATCAACATCCTCTTGCCGGCTTGCTTTGCACTTGCGGATGTCCAGTGTTTCCCGGACACGTGCAACCTCGGCTGCCGCACTGGCTGGCACCAAGCTCCTGCGAGAGGCCGAAGCCTTCATTCTCTCCGGAGGCGGAAAGAGCATGGCGACCTGGTTCAATTCCAATTCTTGCCCTTTTGCGATCTCAGCCATGACCCAGATGCGGGAGAAAACTTCGAAAGCTTGGTCGACCACGATGATGTGACTCAGTTTCCGCTGAATAGCACCCGGCACCTCCTTGTCCAACACTGCCATCATGGCATCGAACTTGTCCTCAGTTCAACCCAAAAGCCCGCGACTAGCAACTAAACTTGCCGCGACAGCAGATGGCATGTTTGCTGAAGATCCGAGGAACCATCTCACACAGTGTCGAGTTGTTCCAGTGTTTGGTGGTGCCACAATCGCAAACATTGAACTTTTCCCCGGTAACTGGATCATGCGTCTCTCTGTGATGATACTCCAGTGCCTTGACATGCTCTTCTGGACTAGATGGTGCCGGCGCAGAGGGTAGACCCCCACATATGCTCGCGTGCTGGTTAACGCAGAACAAGCACAACCAGAATGTCATGTGCAGCGCATCTCGACGATCGAGCCGCTGACGCAAGCCTTCAAAGTCACCGTCCTCCAATGAATCCACTATAGCAGCATAGCTCGTCTCGCCCAAGGCGTACGCAATCAAGGCTGCAACCAAGTGACAGAACAAGTTCCGCCAGTGGTGAGAGACCATAGTCGTTGCCAGCACAGGCTTGTTTGCTTCTGCCAAGGTCGAGTATGCACAGCTCCCAAAGGGCGTGACTTTAGTCGCAGGGATGATTGCGGCACGAACGACATCATGAGTTGTATGCTTCTTGGGGTTAAAATGGGACATCAGTTTTCGCCCATCATCGCCACAAAGGGTGCCTTCTGCCAAGCTCTGGTAGAAGCTCAGAACATGCCCCAGCTTTAAGCCGCGCTTGGCCAGATCTTGGACTTTGGCAAACCATGCTGTCTCCGCTTCATTTGGGGTAGCAAGGTCCTCCCAGCTTGACGCCACATCAGAGGCAAGCATTCCAAACACTGACACTTCGGAGCCTCCTCTGCCACCACTATGGATCCCCCGCAGCTGCTCTCACTGGCCCAGGGGTCTGCACCTGCCAACTTTCGCATGTACGGCGACCGGAGGTCTCTGGTTCCTGATCAGGGATTTGAAGTCACGGAACTAGAACGAACTGCAAGATACTGCAGGCCATGTTTGGCGATGCTTCGAAGCAAGCCTTCTTTCTCGCCACCACCTTCATCGCCCCCACCAACAAAGTCTGCATCTTCGGGCTGTTTGCAGCCGAGGCGGTCCAAGTCCTCGAATGCGAACATGCAGAGGAGTCACCGCCGATGAAGCACCGTCAACAAAATGCAGCAAGCACACATGCCTTGGGGCCTTGGAGCAAGTCTTGAGAACCCAGTGAGGCCAGGTGGCGGTGGCGGGCTCACCGACGGCAACCAGCGGTTTTGAGCCATCAGATAGAACCTCTAGCTTCAACTCCGACTGCTCGAACTGCAGCTGTCGCGGTGGGGACTGCAGATCCTCCATCAACATTCAAGGTTGGCACGAGCGAGAAATTGCACGTGAACAGTCGGACGGAATGCCCGCCAATGGGCGCGGCCTCGTCAGCTCGATCCGTGCGTTTGCTTGCGGCAGCTGCATTGGGAGAACTCCCCTCGCCAGGAGCGCTGTCCGTGTCGGCTGCAAGGGTTAAGCCACTGCTGGCTTCGAGAGCGTCCGGCGACTCGGTCGTCTGGGACTTTTGGACCAAGTCTTCAGTTTTTCTATCCTTAGCGGCGAAGGTTGGAGGACTGGAGGCTTCCGGGATGCTTAGGGCAGAAGCGGAGCAAGCAGACAGCACATGGACAGCCAAGAAACGGGAGTTCCGACTTCGAGCTCAGCCAACAATATCAGAGCCGTGGGCTTGCAGAAGATCCCACGTTTCTTCTTGCAGCTGAAGTAACGGACACCATTCCTGATGGGCATTCGAATCGTGAATCGTGGCATTTCTCCCCGCACTTGCCTTTGACTGGCTTGAGAGCTCTTGCAGATGAAGCATCAAGCTGCCATCATTCTTTCCAATCGGCCGGTCCAGCTCTACTCCAATCCAGTCTCCAGGCGCGAACTGTGTCGTCCCGACAAACCGCACAGTACCTGTCAAGCTGACCTGAAGCGAGAGACTCAAGCCCTAAGACACACCTTGCTGATTCGACTGGAACCATCCACAATGCATCTGTGGAACGCTTGCTGAGCGTACTTCGCCTGCTCAGGTAGGAACAAAAGGAATTTGTGCAGAAATCGGCAAGCACCAACGTATGCCCATCGCACGGGGCGAACAGCCTGAAGAGGGAGTAGAGAGGCAGACTCTAGTCCCAAGCTTCCATGGCTCGGAGAGCTCGTCCTGTGCGGACATCCGCGACCAGCACACCTTTCGAGCCTCTCCATCTATGGCTCTATGGCATGATGCGAGCTGTCAATGAAGATCACGGCCTTCATGTAACCCAACCATCCCAACTGAAGGACCAGGGGATGCACTGCAGAATCTTGACTGGACGTGGACTTTACGAGCTCTGTGCCGTGTCCGATGCTCTTGATATCTCTTGATCCTAACTCAAGCGGACAGGATCAGACCGACAAGCTATCTGGGCTTAAATTGCTTCAGTTGCATTCGTCTCGTCACAACGTTTGCCCCGCAACTCATCGCTGAGCCGCTGCAGTGACAAAGCGCGTTTGGCTCCGTCTGCCCCGGACCGCTCCAGGACTACCTACCTAAGCTCGAAGACCTCTGTTCGGGGTTTACGGCCGGGGATCTTTAGTTCAAAGGATGCAGTGTAGCCTCGCGAGAACTCAGCATGACGCTCGAGCAGTATCTTGCCTGAGATGACCGCACCACCACCACCTTCAACCGGATCTCGGAAATAGAAGACAGTCTGCTTCCAGTGTGTTGCAGGCTTCAACGGGGAGGTAGAAAGCTGCCATCCGGCATCTCCAAACTCGCATTCGAACCATGCGACCATGCCATCCAGTCGACTGCCTGCCGGGAGAGTGAATCCGATGTCAGCTTGAAACTGGTCCAACTCCTCAATCTGCACCGTATGCAAATCCATGAAGAGGATCTCGATTGCATCTCCCAAAAGCGCTTTGGGATCCAGCAAGCGATGTTGAGGTGCTGCGCAAAGCGTGGCAGTGGCCAGAGGGACCAGCGAGGACATGTCGATGCCACGGACGGAGCGCCAGAAGTCCAGCTTCTCCTGTCGCCAGCTGTCCTGAATCGGTGCCATCATTAAGCGGCACTTCGATGGCAGCATCTGGCCACCTTTTCTTAGACATCGATCCCGAACAGATAGGACCGACGGCAGCATGTTCTCGTAGAGCAGGCAATACCCCATCCACTCACTCACAATCACATCAACAGTCTGGTCACTGAAATCCTCGGCAAGGCACTCGTGAACCTCGACGGCTCCCTTTGAACAGTTGGCATCCACCACCTGCTGCAAGAAGTGTGCGAGCCGGGATGCTTCGATGGCAATGACCCTTCTCGCTGATCGAGCACAAAGGACGGAGAGCAGCCCAGTCCCAGCACCAACGTCGACGACGGTCTTATCTTGCCACGTGCTCGAATAGTGCTCGATGGCAGCTGCATATGCTTCAACACGCACGGTGTCTTTAAGCATCTCCTCGTGGATGGCCAAATCCGCATACGAGTCTAGGTATACCTCGTCGTCTTTATCCTTTGCCTGCTCCTTTGGCAGGGTGCGCTGTTCGAGCATCTTTGAGACGGAGGCCATGTGCCCGGATAAGCCGCCAAGCATGGCCTGGAATTCAGGGCTGAGTCCCGCCAGCCCGGGATCGCTTTCATCTTCCAAGTCCATGGTACGGGAAAACTCAAGCAAGGCCAAAACCAAGGCCGAAGGCAAGCCTGGAAACAAAAGCCTCTTGCAACACAAGCCTAGGCCTAGTCCTGCGGTTTGGAGCTCATGCAATTTCAGAGGAGTGCTTCACCTGACCGTCTCGTGAAGCTTTGAACCAAAGCGGAGGAAGTTGCCAAATAGGAAATAAGTCGGTGCATGAACCGAGAAAGTTGCTTCAACTCAAGCATGCCAGATTCTTTTGATACAGATCAAGCACTTCAGTTCCACAAACGAGCCATAAACGACATTGCCAAGTGCGAGAGCCCTCATCTGGATTTATCTGGAAGTCCTGCCAGACAGGGCGTCATTATCGTCATTGCCATGCAGGATCATGCGACAGCCACTGGCGATCGGAGAACAGAACGAAGGCCTGATGATTTGGGCCTGCTCTGCAGACATCGAGCCTGAGACACATCTTCACGATTGGAGATTTCTGACCAAGAGCTACTTGTAGTCACCAGGGCGCCGCGAGGCAAGTCAGCACAACCTGGCTTCACAAGGACAAAGCACATCGAATAAGCAAGAGATGGCCTTGCAAAGTTGAAGCTGGAAAATGGCTTTCAATGGGCATCTAAAAAGCTTCATACGGGTGCAGAAGAGGCCAATGAGGATTGAGGCGGACGCCCAATATCGATCAAGGTACGAGCATCGACACCACGCAGGTGCTCCATTCTGGAACGTATCGAAAGGTTGACAGAATCAGCTGGACGCCAATGTACGCGACAATGAACGCTACTCCATACCTCACGAAGGCTGCTGGCAGTCTAAAGATGTCTAAAGTGTGAAGACCCCGAGCTGACCGAATAGCCTGGATTCGGGTTCGGATGACCACTGAACTCCAGGGCAGTGATTTGCAGTTCGTTCAACCCGCTATCGAAAGAAGATCTCATGTCTCAAGGCCAGGCAAAGACTGCACAGTGATGAAGGCAGCCGGGACTCTTCAACGCCTGAACAGATGCAATTGGAGTGTGTAGTTGTCTGCCACAGAGTTAGATAAGCTAGACTTGCTGTCTGTCCTCGACTTGCTGCACGAGGTCATGCACGAGGAAGAATGCAGCACGAAGAGAGAAGACTGCCATGACAGTAGAGCTGTAGGCAATGAACTGATTCGGCACCTGAGCCAGATGGCAAGCTGTGGAAGTTGCTCCTGGGATTTGTGATGGCATTCGGCTTTTGAAAAAGAGGACTAAGGAATCCAACACAATGACCATTCCTTGGAGACAGTCGTTGATTCCCTTGCGGGTTCAGGTTCAGCGTATCGGTTGAGGCCAGCCGCATTCATGCTGCAGCTGCGCAAATGAGGACACGCGCCACAGCTTGCTGATGCTGCAGATATGGCACTGCGGCAATTTTTGCACTGACACTGTCAAGTGCAAACATCAAATCAGTGAACTCCAAGAGTATGATGACAAAGACCAACCTTGTCGCAGGTCTGTTGATACTGGCAGCGTGAATGGTTAGTGACGGTTAGTGCAGTGCTGTCATTTGATCCAGATCGCACAGGCATGATTAGCATAGCCTTCCACGGCGTCTTCAAATTCTGCCATGTATGTAAGCGTTCTCGAGCTTCGACACTGCAACTTCTGCAAGCCGAGTTACAAGGTGGCCTTGTACTTGCCATCTCGATACACGAAAAGCCTGCGCAGTTCGGACCAGCCACTGGCTACATACTATCTGGGGACGAACGATCAAGGCTGCTTGCCTTCCAAATCCACTACTTTACCAGCAGCTCGGCAGTTCTGAGTCTCGTCTCGGATCAACACGCTGTGCTGCGAGATGATGTGCTGCAGCTGCGAAGCTGCGCGAAGCTGCTGCAGGCACAAGGAAAAGGTGACGAGGGTGCTGTGTGAAACGATGAAGAACTTCCTGCAACTGGTCGCCCATCTGCCTGTGATTCTCGGTGTCGTAACGCTCTTCCAACCGGTTCCCAAGACAGGCCTGGCAGGATGAGACCAGAAATGGAACTTTCCGACCAAATGCACTGCACTCGACCTGTCTGCCTTCGTCGCTCGCACCACGTAGGTGTCCACCATGTCACCTACTCATTGCGTGATGTACTCCGTGACACGCGAACCTGATAGAAAAAACTTGCTGTTTACACGCCTTCGTTATCCTCCTCGAACATGGCATGGCCGCCACTAGCCATAAGCCTCATAGAGCAGGAGTTCTTCTTACAAGTTAAACTATGGAAATCTCTTTTTTCTGGCTTTGTAGCACAGACGCGGTGTGGCGCCAACAATCAAGCTCGATGCCCAAACGCTTGTAACTGCTCTGTGCGATTAGGAATACATTGTCATCGGTCCGCACACAAACATGCTGACTATCGAACCCTGTAAACCCAAGTCTAGATTCTAGCTGGTGATGTGTCCGCCACTGGCTTGCTAGGGTCGGAAAAGGTGGATCAGCCGCCTCTGAAAGAATGCAGCCACGCAGCACTATGCCCATTGCAACTTGCAGGACCTTCTCGTGCTTCAGCACGTCTTCCAAAATCTCAGTCTCTTCCATGCTGCCGGAAAGAGAAAGACATGTCCGCAAGAATCAAATACAAGAATGGACATGAGCATAGGCACAGCATCCACGAAACAAGTGCTGTGTTGGGGAGACAAGACAAGCTCAAAATTCCGTCGCTAAGCATGGTTTGTGGGTGAAAACTTGATCTGGGTCCCGGCAGACCCAACTGAAACACTCCTCGTGTAAGCCATCGCCTATCCGAATCCAGATCTGTTGTGCAGCGCCCAGGGAGGCCCGAAGTCACCCCACCAAGCAAAATCACGCTGCTCACAGACCGCCGCCTGTGCGCAATAGGAACCTCGCCCGCTTACCGTTCAGTCCAAGCTGCCAAAAAGAAGCCAAGCCTCATCAGGACACAACCCACGATGCCAACAAACAGAGCCTGTCAGAGATGAGAAAGGCACGCAAAATTTGCACATTGAAAGATGCTCTGCCTTGCGAGTCAAAGATGGCGGCACGCGATATGTCGTCATGATGAGGCTGAACACCACCAAATTGTCCATGGAAAGCCTCACGTCGCAAGATGGAGATGATGTTGTGCTGTCGACAAGGGCAGCATCGTCCATTGCTAATCCAGAACGAGTAGCATCCATTCTAGGGAGAAGCCGCTGAACCAGTAAATTGCCTGATCTGCACCATACAAGTACCTAGGTGTACCAGTGAAACAGCTGATCCGTCAGAAGGAGCTCTTGGACTTCCACGACACACGCTTTGACGAAAGAATGCCGGGTGCTGCCGACACAAGAGAAGATGCATGTCGACAGAGGAAAAACCTCTTGGAGTCGAATGCATCCAGTGTGCGAGCCCCAGTGTGATGCTCTTGCGGATCTCTCACACACGCTTGCTTTCTCACTCCGTCTCATTTCTATTGTTCGACATTCATTGTAAGAACGTTGCCCGCTGATAGGACAAACGAGCAGACTTAAGCAGATTGGCTCGAAAGCGACACCACAGCACCTGTACAGAACTGCCTTGCTAGCAAAGCACCAGATGTGCACATTGTAGAGCATGCCGATGCTCAGCCAGAATACCTCATGCGAACTCAGTTTTTCAAGGCACTAAACGATCACCCGCAAACCGATGCCACCAGTCCAACTCGTGTGTCTTCAATCATGGTGTGACAGATGCGGTTGCTCTTGATACTGTAGACAGCATGACACTCGCACGTAATCCTGGGCCCCTCTTCCTCTACAACACAGCATTGATTGGGGCCGCTGTCAACGCCACGTGATTGCGAACGTTGGACTTTACTTTCCGAAGCACCTGGGCGCATCGACCAGCTCACACTTATGCACAAAGCACAAGCACGAAGACTTGGGAACGGGCCAAAAAATCCAAGAGTAGAAGACAAAGTACACACTGGAAAAGGATCACCCATTCCTCGGATGCAGCTCGCCTTTCGAATTCTTAAAACAAACATTCCTTTTCAAACGCAGAGTTTTCGATATGCTGGATTGCGAGGTGCATGCCGCAGACCCATCCATCCTGGCTGACCCAAATCTAGCTGTCGGTCTGGCAACAACCGCCTGCACGCTGACAAGTTCGATTGACAAATCTGCGATTCGACAATCGACAGCCATCAAGGAACCTTCCGGCATCGTCTGATTGCAATGTGGACGCGAAATTCAGGACATTGACGTGTTCTCGGTCGGTAAACGCCTGTCCAGTGGATGTCACGGTTGCTGCTTCACTCACAACTCCTTTTTCAAGAACAGACTTAGCCACATAAAACGACCGTGTGCTTCGGAGTTTGCCTTCAGCGATTCCGCGCTCATGAAAGGATGCAGGGGCCCTGTTCCACACAAGCAACCCGACTCCAACAACAGCGTGGGACGAGCTCCTGCCTTGTCAACCACGCTTCATGCATCAAACTCCTGGCGCCAAGATTTGCATCACCAAGCCTTGAAACTGTTGTTGGTGTACATGCACCTGATTCAACATGGGCCGAAAAACCAGCATGGTGTATATATAGATGGACAATGATCTGTGCAGTTTGCAATCATGCTGGAAATCTATATGGCTGGTTCCCATGCTTGGACAAACCACGGCAATCTCGAGCAGAAAGATGACGAAGCATGGCGTGTGCAGCGTCATGGTGTTCACTGAAAAACAGGAACCGTCGCTCGGGGTTGCAACGTTTTCCGGCGATCAAACTGACCCCCAGTTTGTGGACCTCCTTCTGTCCGCCCTTTAACATGCGACGCAGAGAGCTCAGATAATCGAGCATGTTCAACCCCGTGGCACGCCACACGTAAATCAATTTTTCTGAGAGTCGGGTAGTGTGTGCGGTATTTGGAAAACATGTAGGATTGGACATCTGCGGTTTTTTCACGCTTGGCTATCTCCGAATTTGCGTGTGCAAGAGCGACACAGAGTAGCAAACATCAATTGCGGAAGCACAAGTTGAAGCAAGCTTTTGCATTCAACTCAGGTGAATCATGCGTTGCGAA